CATAACTTATGTGGGACAAAAAACGCTTGAAATTCAATCTTTGCCAGGTTTAAAATCGCCGACTCGTTATATTAGTCATAGAGGGGTTAACTAACGTTAGTTAATTTTTAGAGTGGGTAGAATGAATGACTTGATCATCTATTTAATACTATTTTCATGCAGTTTCTTATTCAATTTATAAAGCTCTTTCACACATATTAGTATCAAGGGCAAATGACTATTACCAAGGACTTTCTTTTGGTATAGAGAAAAGCCTCTTATACACAACATTAAATCCTATCTCTATGTATATAAGCTTCTTGTATAAAGGGACTTTATGTACTACCCGTCTAAAGTCCGATATTATCTATAAGATCTATTAGATTAATCTTTAACGATCTCGTATTAAATTACCTACCTTGGTAGGAGACTATATAATACTCTATAATTACTTCTAATATTCTTAATATTTTATTTGATCTTTTATTATGTTTATTAAGATATAAATACTGTTATGTTTCCTAATCAAAATTAAATTAAGTTTAATATCTCTTTTAATCTTCTCTTGTGATTATTATTTCTCTTCTATCATCGTGGTGCTTCTAGTACTTCTTCTTCTAGAAGTACGTATGATCCTTATATTCATAATCGTCTCTATACATAACGTTAAATCTTCTCTTCTTTCTATATATATACGCTTCTTCTATATAAAGGGACTTTATACACACCACTTGAGTCTGATAGATAATATATTAGATACCTTCGAAACTTACTTCTTATATAGCATTTCTAGAAGAAAATCCTTTTCACTTTATAATAGAAAGAACGATAATAGCTATAGGAATTCCGCTATACTTAATAAAGACAACTATAATAGTTATATTAACTATAGGGAAGAATGATGTCTTGAACTATTAAATAATAGCTCATAGATAATTATATTCTTTTTGATGGTGTCATCGACACCTACGCAGAGGAAGCAGAAAAGGAGATCTGAGTCAATGTCTCTATCTAGACTATGATGAAGATGGATCTAGAGAAGAAGAAGAAAAGGAAGAAGAGAAAGACCTAAATAGGTCTACAAGACAAAGAAGCGCTGGTCCTGGAAAGAACCATCAAACCTGCAGAGCAATCTATGCAGGTGTAAACGGGAGGACGCATGACCAAACGACCGAGTAGTCGAGGTCAATAGGGTCGAGTCATCACTTTTAATCTTGAAGTATAGAATGAGAAAACTAGAGAATCATAAGTAAAATATAGAACGCACACTTATTATACTTTGATTTATCGTAAGAATCTCCGAGGTAAGATAGCACGGGAAAGCGGAGACGACTACCTTAGTGTATAACGTTTATTATCTATAGTCTAAGGAACATTAGGGACAAAGCTACTTGATTAGAAGCATAAACTAGTAATAAGGCCAGCCCACTTTTTAAATCTAAAACCGATTAGAACTATGATAAAGGATTCTAGTCCGTTGGGGCCCGGCGCTTGAACCTTACTGGCCGGAGTTCTAAGCGGTGGTTTATCGAAGTACATGTTATATTCCTTTGCTAAGGAGTCTTGATACTTGTAGTATATCATGATTAGGTTGAAGACCGTTAAACCCATGGCATCGAATATCTAAAAATTACCCGACACGTCGCACATGTAATTTCAGTGACAGGCCATCCATCAATCCAAGACACGCGGGAAATTCAATGGAGGAATGATTTGTCAGTTGGCGATAACATGTTCTGCATAACTAGTTAGTGGACAGTAGTTACGTCATCGACTATGTATCTTCGTCACAATTCCTGGATCAAATCATGGCGGCTACAGTCAAACCAAGATCTTTCGTTTTTGTACAATAAAATCTCTCGTATCCCCACACTGCATCATGCTTAAGGGAGATTACAATCATTCGGGAAATTGACAATGCCCGTCACAGCTTCGTAAGTAGGAAAATTGATTTATGAACGCATGATCAAATGTCAATATATCTGACCACTCCCGATCAGAGACATCTGCCTCGGTATACTTGCCGTTTTTATCCCGCCTCTTGCAGTGCTCTTACGAAGAGGATGTGGAGCAGACTTTTGCATCAACATCTTGCTCACCTTGTTAGGTGATATTCCTGGAATTATACATGCACTGTAAGTCCCGTACTACGCTGCTGCCAACATGAACCTTGTTTTTTTTCTCGCCATGTGCAAAGCAAACTCAATTTAGGGAGCTGACAAATTTTTCAAGGTATATTGTGTTCTCATCAAGAAGTCGACTTGGGCGCCAAAATCAATTCTACCAGTGAACTGATGAAACAGCTGTGGGTTTTCCGAGGCGGATAGAGCCAGTGAAGTGTTCCGTTAACATTTCTAACCTACTTAAAGATCTATATTCCAGACTTGATTGCCATTTTCAACGGCATGAACAGGTTGCTTCTGGTTTGAAAGAGGCACTTGACGCTGGTTTTAATGGCATATTAGATAGGAGTGGTCCTTTTATCCTTGGGTGTCGCTCTTATTGCAACGCAGGCTCGTGCTACTAGTAGATTCTAGAGGCAATTATCTAGGTACGATATCGTAAATACACGCTGGTGGCCTTTGCTTTATATAATATTGAGTTACTTTTTCCTGTAGTATCGAGTTCGCTCCATACAAGATCACTTACTTTTGCATGTTTCTTTACTGCAGTTTATAAATTACGCGCTGGTATTGACCTGACTTTTCAGTCCAAAATAATGCAACGATTGCGTGGAGTTAGCTCTAATAAATCGTCTTCGAAGGCAACTATAGTACACGCTTGGCCAGGAGCTCCAAAAGTGGAGTCACTTCCAAGAGGGCAGAGCAGTCACAGTATTAATCGACCAGAATAAATTGATTGCTAAGTAGCTCCACAGGTGATGAGACCTATGGATCTTCTTTATTCTCACAGGGCTTGGTACCATGGTCATCGAATAACGACGAAATGTGAGTTGCGCATTTTTGATAAAATAATCTTAGAGACGGGACACTCAGAGCGACTAGGGCAGCAGAAACCTCCATAACAGAGCATATATATACTGGCACAACATTCAAGATGTCATTAGCTCCTTTGTAAAGGTGTACCACGTAGGCAAGCCTTATTGCTGCTGCCACTACAGTACTAGAAGGAAGTGAGACATTATGTGAAAAAAAGATAAGATTGGATGGCTTACCATAGCCCAGCGGAGCATAGCAGAGTAATAGCCATCAACTTTTGTTTCATGTTCATATGCAAATCTACTCTGAAGTGAGTTGAATATTCCTGGATGAAGCGATTTCAAACTTACCAAGCATTGACTTCAATGGCAAGCAGAATATCCATATATTAGTTATAAGAAAAACAACAGCGACATCACACCAAAAGACGAGTAGCGAAATACAAGACTGGTGATCATTCGTTGGTTTGAGCCAATAACTCCCGACAGGCTTGCATTGAAAAATGGCAGAAAACATGAACGCAAGGGTGATGAGCACGATAATGACTGCTGAAATTGCCGCAATCCTCCGTAGCGTCATGAAGATGCGACGATATAATAGAAGAATCGAAATTTTGACCAGACCACTTGAATTGATATAAAGTATCTGGATGGCCAGTTGCGTCTTGGAAAACAGTAAGCCATGAGCTCGAAAATGGAATATAAATGACTTACTCGACCCAATGCTGTAGTATTTATATCGCTAGTTGGCTTCTCTTTTCCAATACCTAACCGCACACCTAGAGTATATCAGCTTTGAATGAAAGCTGAGTCGTCTAGCTTACCCCAGTTGATAGAGACGAGCATCCCTATCGAGATGACAGTAGCACCGATGATACACAAGTCATCATATCCCCAATATTTGAGCACGCTAATTCGAAAGATCAGATGCAATACTACCGCGATTATTGCGAAAGACAAAAGCACCGTTGCAACGATGGTAAGTGCAGTGCCTGGATCCATTGATCTAAAGTTACCGTAATTAAGCGGAAAGTAACGACGTTGCCCTGTCTTTTTCAAAAAAGTTAGGCGGAATTTCATCAATTTTAAACGATTCTAGTAAGCCTGGGTCAGTGATGCGATCACCTCAACTAATCAAGCGGTAGTTTAAATTCCTTTGGCCCGCGCTCCCGAGTAATGAATCATCATTCCTCCACCCGAGGTCTAGCTTCGTGGTTTGTTAACAGTCAATGCATGTCATATATGCTGGATCTGAAATACTTGCCATCATGTTTTTCAGATACCGCCTGATAAGACTACTTTCTGATCGGGTTAGTATCCTCGATTAGTCCGAGATTGTAGATCCGTGAAAAGAAGGGAAGTAAGTTTCGAATTAAGTTTTCGTCCATCGACAGATTGACAAAACCAACCGTTTACAGAGAGCATCTCTAAATCTCAAAACTCGAAGAGAAAATACGTTATTTCGAACCCGACCAGTAGGATCTCGGGCCCAACACGAGCCGCCTGGATAGGGCAGCTTCTGGTCCGGTCTCGCCTCGTCTTTGTCTTTTTCTCCACGACACCTCTTGACTTCCCTCTCGTCGGCCTTTCTTCGCGAACTAGAGGCTTGTTATGTCAAAAAACGGATAACGCTAAGTATACTCTCTAGTCTTAGAGGCACTGACCGAAGCTCTGAATATTTAGTCTAGTACTTAGGATTCCCTTCTCTTATAAGCTGTACTTATCTCTGTCTGTGAAATAAAAGGATCAGATGCCTGGGTTGTAATGCTTACTGATCAGATTAGGGCACCCAGGGGCGTACTCAGGTCTACTCAGTGAGCAGAAGCGGCGAGGGGCTGAGCACTGAAACGGAAAAGGCAAGCCATGACCCGACATAGGAAACCCGGTACGTAGGTAGTTCTCGTAATATAGTCTATATTATCTAGGTAGTTATCCTTGCTATCATTTCGGTGCCTCTATCCTCATTCCCCTAGATGGAGGGCTCTTAGAATAAAATCTTCATAAAAACCTCGACTTAGGGGAGCGAAGTCAAAGGCCAGCTAAACGCTCAAAGCTAAAAGATAATCCCACATGTCTCTGATCTCTACTCAGTGAAATTCCATCGCCACCCAGCCGGATCAAAGCAAACCTCAAAGTCGACACCCCCAAATAATCCAACAGCCCCATACAAATCAAAATCCCCCTCTAACCCTTCCACACCTCCAGCCTCCTCGTCCACCTCCTCATGCAGGTTCCACCCACCGGCTGGTTGTCCATCACGAGTGAAAAACACCTCAACCTTACACGTCCGCTTAGCCCCAAACATGGCATCCGCCATATCAAGCGGATCCTCCGGCAGCGCAAACTTCATCCCAATCCCCAGCGTTTCGCCAACTCTGAACGGCGCAGTAAAGTCCCGCCCACCCCACGAGTCATTCACAAAGCGACAGCCATCGTCCGAGAAGACCCCAAGACTACCACGCTCCCAGCCCGGCGAGCGCCATGACGGGTACGGCTGCGCTGCAAAGCCCAGGGACAATCCACTAGCATCGCCACCGGGTCCTGCGCGGAGTGCCAGCAGCTTAACTTCGAAATAGATCGTCTTGCGCTTCTCCGTGATAAAGGGGGAGTCCTGCGCGGCAAAGTACAATGGCAGATGGGTCAGCACGCAGCAGTCCCCGTTTCGGTCGACGGTGCGGCCGAACCAGCGACCCGGTGCGGTAGGCGTGAGCTCACCGACAAACTCGCGTTGCTGGACGGGTCGTAGGTCGTGGGTTGCTACGGACGAGTAAACCGCTGTGGAGGGTACTACGGGCTGCCAGAGAGGCGTGTTGTCACAGAAGTCGTGGGCGCGCTGGGCGTCGTCGGCAGAGGCGTTGCCCGTGCCGGAGATGTAGTTGCCCGAGATGGGTGGTGGTGGGAAGACTGATGTATCTGGGACTGCTTCTTGCCAGTTGTGGTATGGTGGAGGATCACCCGGTGGGTATTGTGGCTGCTGCCATGGATTTTGCTTGGTGTTGTTCTGATATTGTTGCTGTTTTTCCAGGCTATAGGAGTTGCCTGGGATTCCTGCTGATGACGATGACGACGCAGCTTGCTGAGAATCATCGTAGCTGGGCGGTGCGCCGAAGAGGTTGTTATTTCCTGGATTGTGGGCCATCTTGGATATCAGCTCCGAAGAAAGTTCTCAGCTTTGCTGTCTCGCCTTAGTTCTCAGAATGATGATGCTGATGGGAAATTCAGCTGGGCGTTTTTGGCTGGGAAGAATAAAGTTGTCATCTCATCGAGTCCCACGGGACTGCCAAGCGGGGCTGTGCGGGTAAAGAGCCGTGGAAGTGTCCCGTTGGTTTTGCTTGGATTCCACCCCCAAAGAGGACTAACTGCTGTAAACTGAGGGTATGAATTGGGATTGGAGGTTGAGTCGGAAGGTTTCGTGTTTGGACTGTCTTGTGGTCGGCGTTTAGGCGTAAATACTTGGGGTGTGCGGTGCATTTACAATTCAGCCACTTTGCTGACTGGCTCTCTCTTGACAGAAAGAGGCTGGAGGGCTGGGCTGCAGGGTTCTGCTGATCTCCATTAGATGATGCTTATATCTTTTTTTGATCTTAAGATCCAGCTTAAGTCTCTGAGAAGATAGAGAATCAAGGATCTGTAAAATTGGAGCAGTCACAAAGAGTCGACTCCAATAGGAACCGACTAAGAATAGTTCGAGCTGCAGGTCTCAGATCGGACCAGCGAGTCGCTGCACACTCGAGCCATTTCACAACAACTTTGGCTGTGGCAAGTTGGAAAGTTTCTCCTTTCTCCTGTTGTACAAATTGTCATTCCTTTTTCTTTTCTGTGCGAGCCCTGGCCGGAGCCTCTATCGTTAGGCTCCGCTGGAGTTCTCTCGACTGGCCTCTTTCTTTTTTTCTCTCACTTCAACCTCGCCATCTTCGATCATCCCCGCTGCGATCGGTCGTAGACCCCCTGTCAATGCTTGCTGACCCTTTCGTGATCGTCGATTGTTGGACCGTGTTCTGCTCGTCAGATGCAAGATGACAGACGATCAGATTCAGCCCCGCAGGCGACGGCGATCCTCCATCTCGGAGCGCATCCAGCGTGCTCTCCACGTCGATCGCTCAGACAAGGTACGACGCACTCCCGTCAGGAATAGACTCGAGCTCACAGATTCTACAGAAACGGCAGAGCTTCTCTCCAGAGAATGATTCCAATGGAGTTCGCGCCGGCCAGTCAGCGCCGTCTACAGCTCAGGCGCAGCTTGGAGAAGGCGCGCGCATAAACAAGACGGATGCAGCTATCGGGCACCACACTCCAACGGGCTACTCTTTCCAAGATGAAACCCTTCCCAGCACACAGACGTACTCCTCACAAGACTCTCGTCTGCCATCTACATGTACCCCCGGCTCAAGTCCCTCGGTTCGACCAGCGCAAATCCAGGACGAACAATCAATGCATCGGTACATGGCAACGCCCGACATGAAAAAGTCCAAAGATAAGAACGATATTTGTTCTTCCCCGACATGGAAGGAAACAGCTCGTAAAGAGAGGCGAGCAACCAAGCGACTGGAAGCAGAGAGAAAAGAGCTCGAGAAACGCCTCATCCAACTAGAGGAGTCGCAGGCTAGACTAGAACATGGCATCTACGATCGACAATCCCGACGTCTAACTAAGAAACAGCCACTGGACAGCGGGAAAAGATCTTCCAGTGCAAACTCCGAAAGACCACGGTCGTCGAGATCTTTGACAGCCTTCTTTTCAGGATCACGCCGGTCCTCCCGATCGCGAGCCAGCTCTGCAAACGGAAACGACCGCCGTCGGTCTTCTGATAATGAGAATCCAGAAGGAGGACCGCCAACTCTGCCTCTCTCATTAACCGAGCGCTTTGGGACTGCGGTATCTCGAGAATTGGCATCCAGGCATGGTACTTCGCTAATTCCCAATCATCAGCTCCAACGCTCCTCGCACCTACTCCATCACACTGCCGCTAAGTCGGATGATCTACGGGAGAACTGGAAGATGGCGGAGGCCTGGCAAAAGCAGAACAGTGAACGTGAAGCGGGTGATTATCTGAACGGTTTCAAGACGGAGATGGGTGTGAATGCCGGTGCTGGTGGTGGTGCTGCTGCTCAGTCGGTATCAGAGCCCCTCCAGAAAAAAGATAATCCACTCGTGTATCCTTCATACACCAATTCTCCTATTGACCTCGACCGTGAGCTGTTTACTGCCAGTCTCAGACAGGAAAGGAAGCGCTCGGAGACACAGAAACCTGCAACTCCGTCAGCTTTACGGCCGGGAGGCTTGTCGGTTGCACAAGGTCAGAACTATTCCCAGACTGCTGAATCACCAACGACTCGAGTGGCCACGGCTCGTCAACTTCATAAAATTGCACATGGAGAGGACAAAAGGTCATCGCCAAAGAAATTGCGCTCTTCCAGTTCAATCCCCAAGGATTTGAGGAACGGCACGGATCACAATTCACACGCGCATCAAAAGGAGTACAAATCGTCTCCTCTGGCCCTGAACCCGGTTACAACAGACGAGAACGACCTGCAGAAAGAAAATATGAAGCCACCCAAGGCTTCGGCGGCGGAGCAAAATAGTCGTGGACTCGTACCACAACCTCTGCGGATCAATTTTGAATTCTCTCGCGGACGGAATCGACAGGCTTCGTACCCTTCATCCTCGGACGCGACTCAAACCAGGGCTAAACAAAATGCTCGTCAAGACCAAAGGGCAACACTCATGGGTCCTGTAGAGATCCCGGCAGGAAATATCAAACACAATCAGCGAAGATGGAACCCCACACCTATAGCTTTCGATAAACCTCAGCCCACAGCATGGGAACTCAGACCCCCTCCGTCCGTGATTCCTCCCTTGAAACACCCAGGCCGAAAATACGCTCTATCCGACAACTCGCCGTATGGTCGACTAAGCCATGACGGTCAACAAATTCCGGCTATCATCACAACAGAGGCTGTACCAGTGACCCGCTCGCAAGAATCAGTACCACATATCCGCCATTCCCTGGCCGAAATTCCCGCCAGTCAGTCCACCCCCAACGTCCTAGTCGGTCGTGGACATAGCCGCTCATCATCGGGTGCATCCAGCTATGACACCGCCGACGAAGAAGTCCTAGACACACCAAACCACCCGTCGCATCGAAAAACCCATCCTCCTACCCTGGAAACACAAGAAACCAACAACTCCAGCGCTACTACAACGACCATAACTCTACCAAACAGCCCCATAACGAACGAAATCCAAACTATCAACCTCAATCCCAATCCCAATGCCACTCAAATCAACCCACCCCTCTCCCCAGACGGCACGATATCACTAATCCGCCGCAACCCCCTCCAAAAACCCAAGGCCCTCAAAAAAGACCAACTCCTCGCAAAACTATTCGTCATATGCTGCCACTGCCAATACTGGCACGACCTCCCCTCCGAAATCTACGCCAAACTCGCCTGTCCAGAACGTATCCCGCCCGAATCCTATCTTGTGCGGAACTTCTCACGCCGCAATTCCATCGGGCGTCGGACTTCGTTCAAGGCTGTTTTTGGAGGGAGGGCTCCTGAGCGGCGGTTGATGGGGAAGCAGGGGTCGGCTTCGAATGAGATGCAGCTTGTCAACGCTAGTACTGCTGCTAGTGGTGCTGCTGGTCAGACTGAGATTGAGAGTGCTGCGGCGAAGTCGGTTTCGTTGGCTTGTTGTTGGTGTGGTCATGGGATGAATCGGGCTTGTTGTCAGGGATGGACGACTCTTGTGCAGATGCGTGAGAGACATCATTAGGTGAGAAAGGTGTTACTGTTGCCTTGAGCGAGTTGTCTGTGACGAATATTATGACATGACGATATGGCTTTGACTAATGATTGATGATTTGAAAACTTTGGTACGTGGACGTTACTGGGAGTGCATTTGATTTTTGATATCATGGGCATAGTCATGGCCCCACGGAAATTTTCAGAGATACTCTTCCGATGTATGATTTATGATTTCATTTGCAGGATGTGACGCAGAGAAAAAGCTTTCCATTTCTTATTTCTTGTATTACAGATCAATATCAATCATCCTTTCTACTGATCGAGTCTTGAAAGTCACCCAAACATTCGAAGGATACTAGAGTGCTTTACTCTCGAGTCAATACTCGTCGCATGGTCCATTAGATCGGAGAGCTTTGTAGGGCAATGTTTCTTCGAGAAGGGGATCGTCAAAACGTGGAGAACCTTGTCCACATTGACATCATTCTTCAACGGGTTGACATAACATGCAGGGCATTACGTCAAAGCCTCAATAAATCTACAGATCCACTTGATGTGGAGATTAACCAATACAATAATACTTCCATATCAAAACAGAAAGGTCCACATAGATAGTACAGATCTACTCGCAAATCTACTCTCCTACATTGCATAATCGAACAATAAACACATCAAAACTCAAGGACGAACTCGGACAAAAAAAGTTTTCGAGGTATGTGAGGAGGTTTCAAGATCATCAATCCAAGCGGTCATAAGACACCAGAAGAAGGGGGTAAAAAGGTTTAAAAATTAGACAAAAAACAAGAGTCTTGGATGACGTGAACAGGGGCCGGTAAGGAAGGTGAGAAGAAAAGAAAAAAAAATTGGTCAAAAGGGTATAGGCATCAAGAAGTCGGTAAAATCATCACAATAACCGTGATCGTTGAGAAGAGTAGAAGAGAAAAAAAAAAAGGGTGTATCAGAAGAATATGTATGGAAGAATGGGAAAAGAAAAGGAAAAAAAAGGTAGGATGTCGGGGGTATTCAACCGCAAGAGTTTCCAAAGGAGAAACGAGAGAATTGGAGGGTGTGAAAATCACCGTCAGTCAAGACGGGTTTCGTTGAGTCTGTTTTAGCGCCAGCGGCTGGGCTGCGCTGCGGATCATCAAGATCCGAATTCGGGGGCGCGTCGCATAAGCTCGCGCTGAGACCCAGAATCTCATTCTGCGCAGTCCCTTTAAACCATAAGCAGACCGGCGACGGCAACCACACCGGCGGCCATGGCACCAGAGACCTGGCGCATGGAGGCGCCGTTGGCGTGCGCGGAAGCGAAAGCGGAGGTAGAGGCAGCCGAGGGAGCAGCAGTCTCGGTGTTGACCTCGACGACGGTGGAAGTGCTCTTGATCAGAGGAGTAGAGCTGGACACATGGACGAAGGAGGAGCTGGAGAAGACCGGGGTGCTGGTAGGGGTGGGAGTGGAGGTCGGGGTTGAGGTCGACGTAGGGGTGGGAGTTGGGGTCGAGGTGGAAGGAGTGTAACCGGAGGGCACCAGAGTGATGGTGCTGGTCACGCAGGGAGTGGTAGAAGCCTGCTCAGCGGCGAAGGCCATGGGCACGAGGGCCGAGGCGAGGAGGAGGATAGTCTTGGTGAACTGCATTGCGGCGGTGGGATGTGTTTTGTTGATGTTGATATCGATATTGATGTGGATGATCTGATTGGAAAAGAGTGAATGGAGCTGGTAGAAACGAATGCGACAGCCCGTGTCTGTGGAGATATGGATATCAAGATGAAACGAATGACACTGCTTTCAAGGAAGACAGGAGATGTTTATAGAGGAAGAGAAGGGAAAAGGGAAAAGGGAAAGGGACGAGAAGGTGAGCGAACGGGAAATGAAAGGCCCCGTTTTTATCCCGTTTGGGGTTAGCGCGGGCTGTTGCAGACGTAACCCGCCCGACCAGCGGAATGTCGAAATTAAAGAGATTAAAAGACGGAGAAATCGGAGTCAACAGGGTCTAGTGAACAGGGTTTGGTGGAAACTATTTCCTATCGGATGATTTGAAAGAATAATATCAAGACTTCAGTAATAAACCTGGATTAACCTACAGGATAAAAAGGGGGGTATCAAGAGCATCCCAGGGGAAACTATAACAGTAACAAATAGCCTCGCCAGAGAAAGTAAAAGCTTGGCACTCGGTTCGAAGACACGGCGCATGTTTCCAAAAGGGGAATCGCCATAAAAATATCCAGCCAACAGCCAAGCAGCAACGGAAGTGCCATAAGTGCAGCAACCGGGTCATAAAAGAATAAAATCATACAAATCCTGTCCATCGTCTGTCATCCATCATCGGTCGTTTCGAGAAAAAAAGAGAGAAACACTGTTGGTTTAGAATGACCACACGGTCGCAATAACCACAGCCACCATCACCCAGTACCCACTAGCATTGACCAGAGTCACCAGAGGCCCCTGAGCGGCTCCCGAAGTGGAGGAACTGGAACTGGAACTGCCATTGTCGGAAGTCGTGCCATTAGCCAAAGTTCCGTTGATAACGATCTTCTCGGTGCCATTGACGTTGGCCACTCGCACCATGGACGTGTTGTGTGGCTGAGTACCGTTGAACAGGGACTCGTAGTAGGTGCTATTGTTGTTATCATCACAGCCACACTCCTGGTACTCTTCACAGAGACAGACCACGGGCAGTGACTCGTTCTTGTTGTTGGTGTTATCGTGATAGTAGTATGCATGGGGGTAACTGTAGGCGTATGCGCCCGCGAGCCAGATACCCGGGAAGAACGCCAGGGCTGCTGCTGGCAAGAGGAAAGGCGTAATCCCCGATGGGGATCTAGAGCCCGATGTGTAAGGTGATCGCGCACCACCTGCGTAATATCTGTTGTGACCGAATGTCTTAGTATCTGTGATTGTCTTCATGGGCTTTTGGGTCTTCGTCTTGGGGGTCTTCGCGCCGCCACTGCCAGACCCTGAATTCCACATCCAGGGCCACGAAGATCCACCACTACTGCCACTCCCAGAGGACCCATAGGTTGTGCCGTGAGAAGGATTGCTGGAATCATACCTGCCGCCGCCGTAGGATGGGCTAACCCCAGAGCCTCCGCTGGATGAGCCGCCTCGGTTGCTGGACGAACTCGTACTGCCACTAGTACCTCCTCGACTAGAAGAGGAACTGCTGCTGGAGGAGGAAGAACTGCCAGAGCGACCTCCACTGCTTCCACCGCTGGAACTGGAACTCGAACTGGAACTGGAGCTTCCTCCTCCACTCCGGCCACCGCCACCTCCACCACCGCGTCGCTTTTCGAGATCGACAAATCGTGCATCCAGAGTAGTCAAATCGGTATCGGAATTGCGCTCGATCAGATCAGATTGAGAAGTGAATGGAATAGACAAGGAGGTCACTCCCTGAGAGCCCAGGAGAAGGACCGTAGTTGCCCACGCCAACTTCATGATGAAGATGATGTCAGATCTGCGATCTTAGAAATGTGGATAGGTACTTTTGTATCGAAGTGAGGAATACTTTGATTTGAACCTCAACCCGGGTATGCAATAAGGGTACAAAGTCAAGGGGGGAAAGTTGGAGAGATTTAAAGAAAAGAAAAAAAAAAGAGAATACGACTCGAAAACAGAAAGCGCCCAGAAAAAATCAGGGTCTCCGGGGCTTAAATGAGCGGAGACTAAACCCCGGTCGGACAGTGGAAAAGCACCGCCCCTGAAAGCCCAAAGCACAAGCACCGAAAGTAAACTTTGGACTGGGCACCTGGTGCGAATACGAGGAAAGGCCCAAGATGTATTAGTACAAAGTCACTTTGGGCGGGAAGGCTGAGGCTGATGGCGGAGGCTTAGCCATTTAGTTCGGACCCTCCAGTGTGTACTAGACTAAAGAATGACAGCATAACCAGTAACTAGTTACTGTACACTGCATTACTACTGTTAGTCTACTACGACAGACGGAGGACTGTACATACGATGCGGAGTATTACTCCGAGGCTCCTGAATGAGTCAGTGGACCATTTCACTCTGCTGGGGTTCATTGGACTAAACAAGACTGCGCCACTCTACTATATGAATTACTTCTTCCATTCAATGTCTTCGATGCATTAGTATCATGTGCCTAGGAGAGACATACAGTAGTTTACTATATAGTACATGACAAATGTACAGTACTCCATCGAGGAGTCACAGATTCTTCTTGGTCCTTTTTCTAGAATTCTGGGGTGCATATCGATATACTACTTGGGCAGTCGACAGTATCTGCATAGTATTTCTAAAAGTGATAGTTGATTTGCTTATGATTTGTATTACATTGTTGAAACTCAGGCACTGCCTCCGGCCCAACGGCCCCTCGGCAATGACGGCATTCCAGGACCCTGCATACATCTCACGACCATGATCGCATTGATCATCATAACCCCGCAGGGTGGCCAAACTACTAAATGTTGTTCACAATATACTCGATGAGATTATCGATCATCTTCACGTAGGTGGCAGAAATGCATCGCCATTATCTGCTGATCTCTTGGTTATTTATTTCTACAGCATGACATCAAACTAGATCCTCCATATACCCGATATACTGGGATAAATTATATTCCCCTCTCGCTTCCAAGTTGACAGGCCCGTTCGCACTCAGCCTTGTTGTGGCTCCAATCAATTCGATAATTAATGTTACATACTCAATCTACTCTCGTTTTATGCGAGGCTGAATACCAGAGAGCGCCAAGAAAAGAGGTTAGGAGCGGTGAATGAGTGGAGCCAACTTTGCTCAGCCATCATTCGATTGTGATCATCCTTTGGATCGTGTTTACTCTGGAATACCCTTCGAGTTGCCAGTCTAAACAAGGATATAGACACATTTCCAAGTCAAGTTCAATATATCTAGAATCCTCGAATACTAGTAGATGTAAATATTGAATTAGACGGTCCAACGTACGATCAAAAAGTAATTCTCCCTAGTGATACTACTAAGTTCTACTAGTCGTGAACGATGATAAGGCCCACATGCGATCTCCGCCTGATCCTCGGCGGTCGGCGCCTTCGCTTTCGGGCACCCAAGCCAACGCATACCAACGTCAACACGAAGGATTCTCGAGAAACACACTCTCCTCCCTCCAACGCTTTACGTCCTTTCCTTTCTCCAATCTCGCGCCATGGTGCGCCCGAGGGGTCTCTCCAACTCCTCCTCCGTCTCCTCGGTTCCCGACCAGGATCAGGTACGCTGCATCCTCCCCGGCCCCTGGATAGCTCACCTTCACCCCGCAATGGTCGCATTAACTCGGAGTTTTTTGGGCGGGTTAGGAACTGGGGAGTATGTATGATTACCTGGCTAAGGTGATCTTGCTGGGTCCTAGTGGTGCAGGAAAGTAAGTATCGCCATTTCCCAGTCTCCCGTTGATCCGGGGAGAGTTATCATGAATAGATACTCTGGGACATGTGCTGATCTCTCGTCTTTTCTTTATCAGGTCCTGTGTGCTACACCGTTTCGTGAAGAATGAATGTACGACTCTCCCAGCTCTATCGCACGCTCATACCTATGCTTTAAGCATCCCTTGCTAACTCTCCATCCAGGGCGAGTCCTCTCCTCACAAACCATCGGCGTCGAATTCTCCTCCCGCATCGTCAAGCTCGGCACGGGCTCTCGTCGCCGGCGCATCAAGCTCCAACTCTGGGATACAGCCGGCACCGAGCGCTTCCGATCCGTATCTCGTTCCTATTACCGCGGCGCTGCCGGCGCAATCCTCGTCTACGATGTCTCCTCCTACGCCTCTTTCGCCGCACTCCCAACCTTCCTGATGGATGCGCGCGCACTCGCTTCGCCAAATTTGACCGTCTTGCTAGCTGGGAATAAAGCGGATCTAGCAGATGCGACCGCTTCATCTGACTACCACGACGATGCACACCGGCCCCCGCCGACTCCGTCGAGTACCTCGAGTAAACAATCGTTTCTCCCCTTTGACGCAACCGGTTCCGTGCGCTCTACGACATACCTAGGTCCCGGGACGAGAATGACTGCCTCGTTCGCCGAAGGTCGCGAGGTTAGTAAGGATGATACCGCGCGCTGGGCCGCGCAGTCGAATATCCCCGTTGCGGTTGAGATTTCCGCTTTAACGGGTGAAGGTGTGGAAGAGGTGTTTCAACGGCTAGCCCGTATTATTCTGACCAAGATTGAGCTTGGTGAAATCGATCCGGATGACCCGCAGAGCGGGATTCAGTATGGAGATGGTGGCATGTATGGTCACGGTGCGAGCGATGCTTCGAGTATCCGCAGTCGGGCCACGCTAGATGAGAATGCGTTGTCGTTGCATCGACCATCCAGGAGACGAGGCAGGCCGAGCTCGGGTTGGAAGGGCGGCATGAGAGAGTGGGAGGATGTATTCCGACTAAGTGGTTCGTCGTCGAGGAGGAATCGGGGGTGCTGTTAGCATACCCCGTCTTACTGTGGTTGAGGAGCAGACTGGACGTGGATTTTTGAGTTTTGGGTTTCTTTTTAATCTGTCTTTCCTTTCCGTCATTGCACGATACCCCCTTTTCTGACGTTCGTTTTATGAGGTCTACCTTTTTTCTGCGAGATGCCTACTGATGTGGTTTGTGTGGATATTGTGTTAGCGCTGGCCCGTGTACATTGTATTAGATGCAGGGGCATATAATTTGGACGTTCCCGAAAGAACAATTGCCATGCTTGTTACTATCCACACTATTTCCTCGAATTTGACCATGACGAAGATGCGTCTAGTTATCTCTAGCACCTCTGGAGCTAATTTGGTCCAGAGGACCTGCCTAGCCTCGCCCGACTAAGTTGTTAAAAGGTATACTTGTGGTCAACTAGTCTCTTAGGTGTAAGTATGATTCGGAAACACGTTAATCAATTTTTCATTCTTTCATGAACCACAAGGGTCTGTCTCACTTGAAATAATCATTATAAATTCATATCTTTCTTCTTCATCCTTGGTATCATCTTTTACACATCGATACCAGCAATGAGCGTCTTAATACCCTTACCAGCCTTAACCTCCTTGAACGCATTCTCAGCCTCCTCAAACTTAACAGTGCCCGTAATCAACTTCTTCACATCCACCTTGCCGGCCGAGACCAGCTCCACCGCAAGCTTGTAGTCACCGCTACCATAGCGGAAGCTACCCCGGAGAGTCAACTCCTTGGAGCAGGCAGCCATAATGGGGAACTGGATCTCGCTGCGGCCCATGCCGCCCTGCACGTAGGTACCGCCGTTGCGGAGGACGTGGATACCAGTGTGAACAGAGGGCTCGGCACCCGAGGCATCGATGGCCACATCCGCACCAGCACCGAGACCGTTCTCCTGGCGCAGGCGCTCTGCGTTCTCGGTGGCGGGCACCTTGGAGGGCATGAAAGTACCGGTGGTCGCGTAGTCCTTGGCAAAGTCCAATCGGGACTGCTGAATATCAACCACAATCACCTTCGAAGCACCGAAAGCCGTCGCCACCGCGCAGCACAGCAGTCCGACGGGACCGGCACCGAAGACTACCACGGATTGTCCGGGAGTGACTCGTGCCTGGCGAACGATGTGGACGGCCACACTCAGCGGCTCCATGAGGGCACCCTCCTGCAGGGAGAGGGTCTCGGGCAGCTTGTAGCAGAAGTCCTCGGGGAGGACGTAGTATTTGGCCAGGGTGCCGTCGTAGGGCGGGGTCGCGGCGAAGGCCATGTTCTCGCAGAGGTTGTACTTGCCAGCCTTGCAGGGCTCGCATCGTCGGCAGGAAATACCGGGCTCCATGGCGACGCGGTCGCCGACCTTCAGTGTCGTCACGGCCGAACCCACTTGGGTGATCACCCCGGCGGACTCGTGGCCCAGCACCATGGGGTCCTTGACGACGAATTGACCGATGGAACCATGCTCCCAGTAGTGCACCTAAAAGATTGAAGCGATTGAGGGTTAGCTTTTCGACTTTCATGTTTTGTTGAGTCTCTCGTCCCCTCATACGTTGACTGCTAGTTTATGCTTTGTATAGCATGACAGCATTTCGTGTTACATACATCACTGCCGCAAATTCCGGTGTATTTGACGTTGATCAGGACATCGTGGGGGTTCTTCAAGGCGGGAACTGGGCGGTCCTCGAACTTGACCTTGTGAATGCCCTCCAGGACAAAGGACAGATTCTGTTTTTGTGTTTGTTAGCCGGTGAACTCGGTCGTGGCGGGGTGGAGGCGGGGCGGATCGCATTTAGCCATTTACCTGGGCGGTCTCGGATGCGGTCATGGTGGAAGAGGAATGGATTGAAAGTGAGTGTATGGGAGGAGATTGAAGAAGAGAAGAAAAAGAAGGATGAATTAGAAGTGGAAGAATGGAGAATAAGGGGGAGAGAGATGGGGAAGATATATGGATGAGTGTAGGAATTTATTGCTATTCAAGGCCCCGGCAAAAATGGGAATGAACCGAGCTGGGAGCTCCCCGCATGACTTTTTTTCAGACTTGGAAAAGTGCCTTAGTTAACTAACTAGCGACTGATTCCGGTAATAAACTCAATCAAGTCAGTCATAATTCGGGCGACTTTCCCCTGGTGGATCCAATTGGGATTTTAACCGCGGAGGGCCTTTACCCGATTCTGCCTTAAAAGGAGAGTCCACTTGTCTTGGTAGTAAGAAGGTCACTGCTAGCGCCCACGATGTCCAGCTGACCAGAGGGAATTTTACCATTTGGATGTTTCTTTTTTTTCGGTGGACATTCTAGACTCGTAGATTGTGTAACTGTACAGGAGACTCACACTATGGAGACTGTACAGGTGCAAGTGGAGAACTGTACAGTTGTCTCGATGAGATCACGAGGACGGGTAATATCCCATGACCAAAATTGATTATGCTTGAATTATTATGCTTATATATTAGAAGCAATTATATATATCTATCCCAGTTGCTTTGTGCTAATTATGACTGCTGATTCGAGGGGAACTATATCTTAGTCTAATCTATTGTGTATACTGTTCTCCATATTAGAGCAGACCTCACCAATTGACCTCACCAGAGATAATATAATCAAAATAATTCAACTATATCACAAAGAATAAAAACAATCATTCTCTTACCACTATCATGTATACAACTTATTCTTCTTGTCAGTGACGCTGTATTCCGGCCGAGAACCTTACTGCACTTCCGCGCTGCCTGCGCCAAGCCCGAAAGCATCATCGAACTTCCTCTCCGCTTTCTTCAATTCCACCTTCCTCGAGCACCTCGCTCTTCACAGCCCACCATGGTCCGCCCACACAGCTCCATCCTACGGGGAGCTCTACGTACCATCCAATCTCGCCCCTCGACAGGCATTTCCCAGCAAAGACTCTTTGCCGCCTCGGCCCGATGCCGCGCCAACGAAAAGCAACAAGCTTCCTTCAAGAGCCAGCTCTATGAGAGCACCCAGCAGCGTTTGAAGCGCGAACGCGCTGAGCAGGAGCGCTATGCTCAATATCAGACTCAGTCGTCTGGTGGCCGCTATGCGGCTATGATGTTCGGTATGTCCTCAAATTCTTGATTTCCTCGGATTCACGTCCGGCTCGTCAAAAAGTCTCAATCGCCGTCGCTAACATCCTGTCGCAATTGATAGCTCTGATCTTCTTCTCATCCGGCGGTTACTACCTCGGATCTCTCAAGCCCGCCGCCCTCCCTACTTCCTCTACAACCTCCCTTGCAGACCTCGAGCCTCCCAAGCACAATGTCTCTCAGTCCAATCTCCAAGCTGCTTGGTCCGACTTTGTCGAGATCCTCGGCAAAGAGAACGTATCGACTTCCCCCGGTGATCTCGAGACCCATGCCGGCTCCGACTGGTCATCCTATACTCGCAAGGAGGACGAGAAGCCCTTCCTTATCCTGTATCCCGCCTCTACCGAGGAGGTTTCGCGCATCATGAAAGTGTGCCATCAGCGCGTTATCCCCGTTACCCCGTACTCGGGTGGTACCAGTCTGGAGGGTCACTTTGCATCCACGCGTGGAGGTGTGTGCATTGACTTCCGCCGCATGAACCGTATCCTGGATCTCCACAAGCGCGATCTGGATGTCGTCGTCCAGCCTGCCGTGGGCTGGGAGGATTTGAATGAGCAGCTAGCCAAGGACGGCCTGTTCTTCCCCCCGGACCCAGGTCCCGGTGCTATGATCGGTGGTATGGTTGGAACGGGCTGCTCGGGTACCAATGCCTACCGCTACGGCACGATGCGTGAGTGGGTGCTTTCGCTGACTGTCGTCCTGGCCGATGGAACGGTTATCAAGACCCGTCAGCGCCCGCGCAAGTCCAGCGCCGGTTATGACTTGACGAAACTCTTCATCGGCAGCGAGGGTACCCTCGGCCTGATCACCGAGGCCACTTTGAAGTTGACGGTCAAGCCTGCCAGCCAGAACGTTGCCGTCGCTAGCTTCCCCAGCATTCAGAGTGCTGCCGAGTGTGTCACCCACGTCGTCGAGGCGGGCATTCCCGTCGCAGGTGTTGAGATCCTCGACGACGTGCAGATGAAGTGCATCAATGCTAGTGGTTACACCAGCCGTGAGTGGAAGGAGTCTCCTACCATCTTCTTCCGTTTCGCTGGTACCCCTGGCGCTGTCAAGGAGCAAGTCGGGATGGTGCAGAAGATCGCCTCCAAGACTTCTAGCAAGTCGTTTGAGTTTGCTCGCGGTGATGAGGAAATGTCTGAGCTGTGGAGTGCCCGCAAGGCTGCTCTGTGGAGTGTCATGGCCATGCGCAGAAACCCAGATGACCACGTCTGGACTACTGATGTCGCAGTCCCCATGAGCAGACTGCCTGATATCATCGATGCTACTAAGGCCGATATGACCAAGAGTGGCCTCTTGGCTGGTATCTGCGGTCACGTTGGTGATGGTAACTTCCACGGTAAGTAGTCTTCCTACGAGGCCTGAAACGGCCCCCCTCTTTCAATCGCGTACCTTCTAACTTTCTTCACAGCCATCATCCTCTTCGGCGACAAGGAAAAGGAAATCGCCGAGGGCGTCGTCCACCGCATGGTCAAGCGGGCCGTGGAGATGGAGGGCACCGTAACTGGCGAGCACGGCGTCGGCCTGGTCAAGCGCGATTATCTTGCCCACGAGCTAGGCGAGTCTACCGTGGACGCTATGCGCCGGGTAAGTCTGAAAAAAAAAACGCAGATCCTGTCATTTCTACATCACGAAATTAACATATCTATTTAACTCTTTCTAGCTGAAATTGGCCTATGACCCTCTCCGTTTGCTCAACTGCGACAAGGTTGTCCGCACCGAGCAGCCTGCACCGGGCGAGGTTAAGGAATGGTAGAGCTATTCCTCTATCCTGCCTTTGCAAGCCCGTATCTAGGATTCAGACCACCTCGAATTTGAACGGTTTAATCCGATTCCGATCCCGAGCGGCGCCGGTGGTGATGGTGTCGGCGACGACGTCGTTCGTCCTCGCTACCATCGCCAGAGTCTCTGCTGGAACGACGCTCATGCTGAGGCCGGCGCTCGATAACGTCCACATTACCACCGCCGAAGCCCTGGCCATAGCTCTCCTCCCGCGGCTGGAAGCTTGGCCGCCCAAACTCCTGTTCGTACCCTCCGCGCGGTGGCGGTGGTGCACCGTATCCGGATGAGTACTCCCTGTGACATCAAATATCATCAATACCCCCCATTTGCCAACATATAAAATAAAAAGAATATCTTGAGCTAAGAACTTACCGTTCAACGCGTCCATCGCCGAAGCTGCTCTCCTGCACAGTCTCGTAGGTAGACTGGGGCGCGCCGTAGTCGTAGCGCGTCTCAGTACGTTGGTACTCGGTTCGACCGGACTCGTAGGTCTGGCGGCTCTCCTGCTGGTAGTAGCCTCCCTCGTCCTGTCGAGTTTCCCGATACTCCTCGCGCCGGTAGCTCTGCACCGGGGGTGGGTTCGGCGGGAAACCTGGGTTAGGCGGGAAACCTGGGTTAGGCGGGAAGTCGTTGCGAGGGAAATCGCTACGATAGTCGTCACGACCAAAGTCGGGGCGGGGAGGAGGAGGACGCTCGCCGTAGGTGTTCTGCTGGGGATAGTCGTTGCGAGCAAAGTCATTGCGGAATTCATCCCGGCCATAGTCGTTGCGAGGTGCTGGACGATCATCACGGCCGTAATCATTGCGATGCGCCGGGCGCTCCTCGTATGTCGGCTCACTCTGATTCTCGTACCCCCCTGGCGAGGTGGCGGCGCATAGCCGAATGACTGGGTCTCGGGCTCTTCGCGACGCTCATGGTGGCGTCGACGATTCTCGTGCTTGTCCTCGTCATCGTCATCATCATCATCATCGCGACCACCGTATCTGTGCGGCTTAGGGCTCTTTTCTCTCTTGGGGCTCTTCTGTCTCTTAGGACTCTTCTGCCTCTTGGGGCTCTTTTGTCTCTTCGGGCTGCTTCGGCCTTCAAAGCCGCCATCTTCCAGGGCCATGGAGCCCACACTGCCTACGAGACCACCGACAAGACCGCCAAGGGCTCCTCCTCCCACGGCCTGAGCAGCGATCTTGCCCAGTCCGTTGTCAGAAGATTGCTGGTAGCTTCCGCCGCCACCACCACCACCAGTCTTGCCGTGTTTCTTCGGCAGGGCAAGGGGCTTGCCGCATCCGTGGCCGCAGTCCTGGACACCCTCCTTGTGGTTTCGGCCTTGGCGGACTCCCTCGCGGCTGAGTTGGTCGCGAAGTTCCTCGCGCTCGCGTTCGCTCTTGCTGCTCCACCACTGCTCCACGGTGGAGAACATGGTTCCGCGAATGTCGGCTGCGCCGTCATCGCCGGATCTGTGTAGCGCGGGATGGTGGAACACACCGGTAATGATTCGGTTCAGCGTGCGGTCAATGTCGATGCTCTCATCATCCCAGCATTGCATCAGCTGAGGAACGGTCCACTTGACCACCTCCGAGGCAATTCGTCCAGCGGGCTCGTTGAGGATGTTGGAGAAGTGGTCCTTGGAAAGCATCGAGTGGGTGGGGTTCGAGAAGTTGTCATCATTGAACACAACGTGCTGCTGATCCCGGCTAGACTGGATGACTTCCGAAGAACCCGTCTCCAGCTCCGACTTGGCTTGCTTGATAAGAGGCAGGATGTAAGGCGCGATCACGGAGAAGACAAAGACGGTGATCTCGTCTTGAACCTGCTCAATCAGATCTGGGAGAACGGGAATCTTCTCAATGGCCTCGTTGATGCTCTTGAGCAGCTCATCGTGCCATTCAAGGACGGGGTAGATCTGCTTCTGGACATTGCTCAGGTATTGAGCCCACTCCTCCGGCTGGCGGGGGCTGACGTTCTGGGTATCGTGGCGGGCATTGTCTGCCTTGGCCTTGAAGTCATCCATCTTACCAGCCTGGTCGCCGCTGCTCCCAATGAGACCACTGGGGATCTTGCTGAGCAGATCCTGCAGCATGCTCTTGGAGGGGCCCTCGTTCTCGGATTCGGAGATGACACCTTCCAGAGACTGGAGTTCGGACTGCTTGGTCTTGTCCGAGAATTCTCCCAGGACCGAGTGGAAGAAGTCAACTCCACCAAAAGTGCCCGTCACGATAGGATAGACCTCGTTACGGACTCCCCGAATCTGAACCTTGGTGTTGCGGCCAACGTGAGGGAAGACGCCCCTCTCACCAAGCTCGATCAGACTGAGTTCCGTGTAATTGGAGTGGGCAGCGTAGTCTTCCAGACAGTGCAGACCGGTTCCGAGAAGACGCAGAGCCTCGTGCAGGTCATCATCGTTGCGAGAACGGGCATAGCGACGGCCGAGTTGAATTGATTGACCCAAAACACGGCGGATCAGGGCAGCCGAGGTATCAATACCGAGGTCTTCGGATGCGATGTAGTTTTTGAGGCCTGTAGCAAGGAAAGGTCAGTCGTTAGCTGTATGACACATATAATTTGGAGATGTGTGAGAAGTGACGACTGTGTCACATACCAGTCCGGTTGTCAATGGACAGCTCACGCTCCTCGTCGATGGGTCCACGAAGACGACGGTCGTAGCGTCGGGCATCATCACCCTCAGCATAGCCTAATGGGTTATCGATATGCTCGGTGGGTTGGTAGCACCCCAAACGTTCGGTGGTGACTTCGAACTCGCGAGTGCCATAGCTAGCCGAAAGAAAGTGATTAGTTTAGAACAAGTGTCTTGTGTTGTGGTGTTGTGGATAAAACAACTTACCCAAAGCTCATGAAGCCCAGGACCCAAATGAGAATGCGAATAGCCTCGGCACTGACGTGCTTGACGGTGCCCACATCGACCGCCTGGCTGTAATCGCGCAGCCAGTTACCGAAATAGACGCGCTTGACATCCAGCTTACTGAACTTGCGTCCACCAGCGACACGAGCCAGGAAGAGAGTCAAGAGGGCATCTTCAATATCACCGTGACGCCAGTTTTGCCCCTCAATCTTGGAGAGAGAGGCGATATTTCCGGCACCGAAAGCATAAGCCTGGCCCGAAATGGCAAGGATGATCAGGAGGGAGAAACCCAAGCTCTGTAGAGACAGGGCCATGGTGGAAAAGAGGGGCAGTAAAGTGTAAGGTTCACGTCAATAGAAACAAGCTCTCAGGGGGGAAGGCAAGGAGAGAAAGTAAAGTTTTGACAGGAGATCCGAGTTCTGCGTCGTATTATTATGATTGTCAGGCCCGCCCACTATGTGTTTGCATTTCTGGTTGTTTTTTCTCTCCGATGGTGGGGTTGTTGTCGTCTTTTCTTGGGATGTACTTTCTTGGCTCTTCTTGGCAGATTGGGCTTGCGTCTTGTGTGGCTGACTCCGATAGGGCAGATCTGGCAATGCTGATTGTCGATTGATCGGGCTGACGGGAATATATATAGAAAGACGAGAGGGGGATCCATTATGAATGTGATGATAGGACAGAATCACAGGATTGTTTATTGAATTGATTGCGGGCGTGGGAGTCTTGTGGGGGTGGGAATTGGGACTCGAGGGGGAAGTCACGGGGAAGTCACGGGGCCGGGGATGCCAAGGAACTGGTGGTATACAATAGACGGAGTATACAAGATAGAATGATTTCATGATGATCTGATATGGGACAATAATCATACAAGAAGTGTGTTAATATATCCCGAGAGTGAATAGTAATTAATAGTCTTCGATCATACCATCTATCAACTAGTAGTCTCGATACTAACCTCCTTAGTCTGCCAACTAGGGCGGAGTAGTTCACAACCAGGTCCAGTCGCGCCGAGCCGTCCGCATGCGTCCAGCCTCAAGTCGACTCTTCTCACCGCTCCCAGTAGTAACCTTCCCTCTCTTTTCCCTCTAGTCTGGCCACCGGTTTTTTTCTCTCTCATCTTCTCTTCTCCCTCTTCTTCACTTCTGTCTAATCTTCTACAATAACTCACTTCTATCTCCCTTCTCACCTCTCTCGTCGCTTCTCAACTATCCCCCTCTTTTAAGATCTGCCACCCCCTGCAGATTGACTTTCCACGTGGGGGAACTCTTCTCCGAGACTGACCCGGAGTTGTGCTTATCGGAGATGCGCCCACGCAACCCACGGTCCTCACCTTCGTGATCACTGCCTCCCCCGCGCTTACGTCCTCTCTTCCTCTTCCCCGCTTCATTGTTTGCCCCTTCAGATCCATTACTCCACTACTTCATGGTCTCGCACATTTCTCAAATCAGCACCTCTTGAACCTCCTATTCGCGTCTCCGTACCGCGGCTCTCCGTTTGCGCCGACAACCCTGCAACCTTCTCCACCCACCTTCTCCATAACCGTTCCTCCGTTCCCAACAGCCCAGGTGCTCGCGACAACCATGCGCAGCGTGACTCGTTTCTAAGTCGCTTCCCCCCATTCATACGAGTTTGGAGGGTGTGCGATTTTCATGGCGCGCTCTGACATTCAATATGGCCGGGATCCGGCTGTCCCGGTTTACAAGAACCGGTGGTCGATCGACTCCGGATCGCGATCACTGTCCAAGCGCAACGCTCGAAAGGGCTCCAAAGCCTCGAGCATGGAAGATCAGGGCAGTTTGAATAACGCCGGGCGGGTCCCGGCATACCTAGATCCTGATGTGTCGCGAGAGCCCTTACCCTTTCCGGAATACTCCGACCAATCTCTGTCTTCAGAGCCAAGGGGACATGGCTCGATGCGCTCAACCAGGACCACACCTGCAACGACTGCAAGCGAATTTGCAGGGAGATTCGACTCAACCTTATTCCTGTCGAACGCCGGAGCGAATGACTTTACAGAAGGCCTCGACCATCGGTCTCAGAAGAACAAGCACGTGAAACCGAAAGTCCATATCAAACCTATGCTCCGAAAGATGTCTCGCGATGATCCATCCTCCCAGTCAATTGACCTCTCCCGCTCTTCAACCGAGCAGGAGGGCCTGGGCATCTATCTGAATTTCGAACGCGAGCGCGAACGCCGCCAAAGTGAATCGCTAACTAGCGCAACATATCGCCGATCGACTTCTGGCATGCACCACCGGTCGACTAGCGGAACCTCACAATTTTCAACCGCAACCGGGTCGAGTGGAGGCAAGCCGGGGTCGCAGTATGTGCATCCCATGCGCCCAACTCCCAGAGCGTACACCCCTCCATTAAGCCAGTCGTACCAGACATCGGTTAATGAGAGCGATGACCTGGATGAAGGAAGTCCGGAAACCCAGGTGAAAATGCTTTCAGGGTCAGAGCCGCACCGCACAACTCGTGCCTCCTCGGGTCCAATTCCAAGGCTGTCACTCCAGATCGACGACGATTCTTTTACCCGTCTACCGGGCATCTCACAGACGAATGTCTCCGGCCGTCCATCGTTTGGCTACTCGCGTGACAATGGAAGCACCGTGGACACTGCGTCGCCCATCTCGCGACCCTCTCTCGACTTTGTTTTCCGGAGTCGAACGCGGACCAGCACGGATCCGGTTTCACGAGCCGCGACTATCCAGGCGGCACGACAAGCATTCGAGGAAAAAGAGGCAGCCAAAGCTCGCCGACTCGAAAAACAACAAATCAAAGCGGAAGAGCGGCAGACCCGGCGCCTGGTGAAGCGCAGTACGTCCGAAGGCCAGGATTCTCCGGCTGCCCAATCTCGCGAAGAGTTCTCCGAAAAGAAAGGAGATCACAATTGCCCCAAACGGGCCACGCAGACGCAGAGTGAGGAGCCGTCTGTATCATGGAAGTCGCAGTCGAAGAGCACCTGGGTGCTTTTCATGACATGGCTTCGAACTCGAGTGTTCAAATTCCGTCGGCGAATCCGCAAGATGAGCTGAGTCTGGATGTGTTTATTTGTTTTCATGCCTATCATCTAGCGATCTCGTTTTCTGCAACACGGGCAATTTTGCAGCTTTATTTCTAGGGTGGAGTTTTCTAGGCCACACTTGAAGTGTGAGCTGACGGCGTTTTTGAGGATTCTGGAGTTACTCATTTAGTTTTATCTTCATGTGCTTATTTTGTTGCGACATTTAAGGGGCCATCTGGTCGACTCGATAGTGAATATAGCAAATCTTCCCCTTTCTCAGCTTGCTCCTGTCCTACGTAGGAGTACTTCGTATATATAGTATGCCATGATATCCTTTTTGTCCATACTAGCTCCCTAAGATATGGTAGCGAAGAGACGTATCATAGAGTTAAAGCGTTGTATAGATCGGATAAGTTCTACTCTTCATTTATAGGACGTTCACGGGGTAAACGTTTCAAGCCAAGCCATTTCCTCAATGGTGACTCTATACTTCCCAGGACTGTCACGTGACCAAACTGCGCAAGTGTCTCCTCTGGGCTGCCAGCGTCTTTCCCTCTCCGCTACGGCGTACAGCAGCGACAACAACCGCCTGATAAGAACAGAGCTCCACCATCACTTCTCCGGATTTCCTCCTCCCCGCCAGACGCGCCTCCATTGGGAGGGAGCGTCTCTGCCACCATGGTGTACGATTGGGCTGGGAAGCGGGACATCTGCTTCCAGATGTACATTCAGGAAAAGAAAGCCCTGGAAGAGATCATGGAATACATGAGAACTGCTTATCAGTTTGCGCCGAGGTAAGCTTCACTCTCCGTGATGATTTCTTGAGCTACCCAAAGTACCTCTCCAACTATCCCAGGACTAACACTCGCTACCTCGATAGTAAACGCGCGTATCAGACACAGTTCAAGCGATGGGGCTTTCCTTCGAAACAGAATCCTGCACACAAGAATGTCGACCTCGTCGCTCGAGTCAAGGAGCTATGGGAGCACAACACTAATCAACGCGATATGCTCCGCATACTGAATGACGAGGGATTTGCGATCAAAGAGCGAGAATTGATGCGCGTTCGAGCAAAGAACCGCTGGCTACTCCGCGTTCCCAATGGGATGAAATCACAAGTCAGTGCGGATACGCGGAACACACAACCAGATGATGAAGGACTTCTGGCGCTCCAGCAGGAGATTTACAAACAAGAGGAGCAGTTTGACGGTGCCGACCCCGTACCTACCGAAGCCGGTCCCACAACTGCAGAGCGCCGCTCGTCCCCCGGCCTGTCGCCAGAAGTCGTGGCGAAACGCAAAGAACGTCTGGACCGCCTGAAATCAGAGAGCGCAGAGCGATGGGCTTCTAGAAAACGTCGCCGTCGTACCCGTGGGTGGGCTGGCCTGCCTGCTGATCCTCCAGGGCCTCCTCGCTTCCCCTCAGAGACCACAATCGATGAGAGCAAGCAGTATCTCAATCTGGACAACACGACATATCGCCAGCTAAGAGACCACTTTCAACGGATTTGTGAAGAAGCCGGATTCATCAAAAAGACTATTGCGGGTCCGGAGCGATGGCAGGCCGCAAAGGACAAATTGATACAGGAATCACCCCATCTACAGCAGGTGTTTAGTGCCGAGCCGACCCAACGCGACGCAAAGGCTCTGGCTCTTGACGTTGTGTGTACGGACGTGACAAAACGAATGAGAACTTTGGAACGGCGGATGACCCTTGCCGAAGCCAAAAATGCTTTGGGAGTCAACCCGGAGGAAAGTCGCCAGATCCGTAACGCCTTCTACGATACCCTCAAGGCAGATCATTTCACAAGCAAGTTAGAAGCGGGCGATGAGCATTGGGCGGAATTGAAGGCACGATGGATTCATAATTCGCCCCTTCTTCAACGGATTCTGGAGCCAGGGTCCGCCGACTCAGAACACGCATCCAAGTTGAAAGCCTTGGAGGTGCTCTGTCGGGACGTCATGAAACGGCTACGCGACGACCAGACTAAGCGAGACCCGGCTCGCAAAAGATCCACCCCGCGAGCCAGCTCGCAGAACACTGCGCAGTCCAACAATACTCCAGTACATAATATGCTGGACAATGGAATCAGTAACGGGATCAGCACCCTCGCATCCCAGGCGCTCGCTAGTGCTCCCATCTCCGCTAGCGAGCTTGGCGATATGCAAATTGATCCATCTCTGCTGCAGGCAGCAAACGACCCATCTTCTTTCTCGACGAACCCACAACACGACGCGGGCAGTGCATTTGAGTACATGGATCCCATGCTTCATTCTACATTACTCAATACGACGATCTGGCTTCAGAGCAGCCCCCAGAGTCAACTCCAGGGGACACCAGCCAAACCCTGGATGGATAAGCTTGCCACTCGATCCGTCGAGGAGGTGCGCCAGATTATCACTAGCCGCTATCCTTACTCGATCCTCAGCAAGATTGAGGGTGTTGATAAGGATGAGCATGGCAACGAGACGTTTTTCCCTATTGACGAGGATCACGAGCTGGACGCGTATTTGGGACAGGTCCATGGGAGAAAGGCTCTGCTTGTCTTCACAGTAGGGCAAATTTAAACAAGCCGAAAGATGACAGGCGCTTTCTTTTATGGATGAGTCAATTGGACACGGAGGAAATCCCACTTTTATCGGATTCTATTCTACTGGCTAGACTGTTGGAAAGAGGACTGTGAGTAAAGTGTGATTCAACAATGGGCTTCTGTTACCCGAGAGAATCAAAAATCAAAATCTCCAAATAGAACAGGTATTGGTCGAGATCCGGCTATGCCATTTACAAGATGCTTTTCTTCTCGCTGTGCCAAACTAGCTTCTGTAAATGACATTATCTCATATTGCATCGCTATCGATACCGGGCTTTAATTAGTGCCCTCTACGTAGTACAACGACCTCGTAGTACAAAGGTTCGAATGTGCTCGAGTGCTCAAAACGCAAGAACGCCAGATCAAGTGGCCGTGATGACTTTTGTTAAGCTATGCGCGGACGCCAAGGTTACCAAATCTATGTTATAGATATAATGAATACAGAAGAATCGCTTTAATTCACATATGTATCACATTTAAGCCCAACCACAAACTCCTACCAATCCAAAATGGTATTTTAGCTTGAGCCCAGTGTCTGCACCACATTCCTGAAGAGAACACCGATAGAAGGCAATGAGAAGGACGGCGTGTCTCCAAACACCGTGGCCAGCGCCTTATTTTGAGAATTCGAGTCGTCATCTTCAATGACAGGCAACGCGGCAGGTCGCTCGTGAGTCTGGCTGAAGATATTCGCAAGTCCTGAGTTCAGCTGGCTGGTCACTTCCTGTGGCTGTGTGCTCTTCTGCGATGTCTTCTCCAAGCAGCCGAGGCGCTGCACACTCGCGGTTGAATCGATAATGATGTAATCGCCGGTGAATGTGTCTGAAAGGAGTGCCAGGGGGCTGCAGCCAAGAGTTTCTTGGAATACTAGATCAAAGGATGGTACGTCGTAGATTCGGATATGGTACCGAGCCTTGCGTCGCTTCTTTTGGGGGTTGTTTGAGGTTCCACCAACGCGGATAGCGAGGGCAAGAGTCCCGGTTCGGGAATTGACTGCAATCAAGGGTTGGAACGCCACATCGGCCGAGCTGGTAGATTCGGTGAGCTCCATTGGCTTGACGACATCGTCCACGGTATCCCAAACAGCCACAGACCCGGAAGAAGCCACAATCAGATATTTTCCGAGGAACCTGGCGGAGAAGGGCTTTCCAAAGAAGACACCAGTTCGGCGATAGTGCACAGTGCCGTCTCGGGCATCGACCAGGAGAACAATACCATCGCTTGGTCCAGAATGAGAAGGCAAGCAAACAGCAAGCACAGAGCCGTCTTCGGAGAAGGTTATACAGGCTGTCTCAAGAGCCTCGGTGGCATTGTCGATGGATGCACTCAAATCGACCATGCTTCGGCATTTCCAAGTGTCGAGATTTTGTTTAGACGCATCGGTATTCAGGCCACTTCTGTGTCGGGCGGTTGGACACCAGAAACGGAGGAATGCATCGGCTCCAAGAGTCGCAAACTCGTGGGAGCAAGGGCGAGCCGCCAGACCGAGGACTGTAGAATGACGGGAATCACTAAAGTGCGGTCCGTCAATGCGCGTCACCAATTCCCAATTGTCGGTGGATGCGCTCCACTTCCAAAACTTGAGGAATACCTCCGGACGCAATGAAGCCAGGTCATTCTTTGAAGTAGTGGAAGTCAAAGCCTCTACGTCTTGAGGATTCGGCACCCATGAATCGACGGTGGCCAACCATTTTCCATCCTGTACGATGTCCATCTGACGGACATCAGGGGCGACAATGGGGGTTCCATCTGGGCCAATGTCCAAGGTCGTTGCGTTTGTGCGTGCCAGAGCTTGGCGAGAGATGTGACAGTTAGAGCGAATATCGAACGTCTGGAGAACAGCAGAGCTTGGGCGCTGGTGCCCCTGTTGACTGATGTGATAAGAAGCGGGGACCGTGACCATTAGTCGCTCGGGGTACTGCGGGTGCAAGGCCGCAACGGCACCGAAAGGCCGTTTTGAAGAGGAGTCCTTGTAGCTCGTGATTTCAGTGCTCAATTGTAGGCCCGTCACGTTGGCGGAGGGCTGTAGTTCTCGAGCAGACAAGACCATAACCGAGTTGTCGGCCAGTTTGACAATATACGAGTTTCCGTTCGGTGAAACGACAATGTTGCAGATGGGGGAGGAGAGATGAGGAAGGAACTGCTTTCTTCCGGTATCTAGCTGCCACAGCACCAGGACCGATTCCTGGCCACCGGAGATAAGATAATTGCCTATTGAATGATTGTTAGGGATCATTGATGCTTCGATGGCAAATGATTGCATAAGGACAATCTTACCGTCTCTTGACCATCGCACAGAACTGACAGCGCCTCGGTGCCAATGCAACTTCCGGGGGGTTGATTTCTTATCCGCAGAGCGACCAAACAACGTGCTGAGAATGTCCTGATAGATCAAGATGTATCCGCCCGTCTCACCAACTGCCAAGTCAACCACTGGGCCGGAGGATCCCGAACTTTCATCGGAATTCTCGCGCAGGTGGAAACAGGTGGCAGGAGCTGGAAGGGTCGCCTCCCGCCATGTGTATTTAGTAGACTCGGGAGATTCAAGATCAACACTTGAGGTGGTACCCAGGAAAAGATGAGACCCATCACAAGCGACAATGACTCGGCCTCCGCATGCAACTTTAATGTTGTTGATCGGCTCGCTAGTCACAAGGACCGAGATACCGGCAAGCTTCTTTTCACCCAACGAGTTGATCAGAATCTGCCTCTTTCCATCCTTCTGAGACACGATAGAGTATGATGCAAGTCGGTCCTTCTTCTCGACCAGTGATAGGTCAACGGCAACAGTTGTAGCATCAGTACCCCAGCGGTCGAGCCGCTTTCCAGAATCCCAGTCCCACTTGGTCACAAAGCCAGGAGTGAAAATATAAAGTATGTCGGATTCGATAGGGCAGAGTTGGTACCCAATGACCTTTTGGCCGGCTTCCATTTGCAGGGTACGCAAAAGGCGAGATGTAGCGGTTGCAAAGACCTGGACGGAAGTGTCAAGTCCCAGGAAGAGGTATCTAGAGGGTCAAGAAACGTCAGACACCAGCCTCATTTGCAAGCCGAGAAGAGATGTCTACTTACGCCTCATCTGTGGTCATGACTGGGTCTAGGTTGGTATAGCGGCCACCCACGGGGCGTGAAAATGACCATGGCGCGGAACTCTTTCGCTCTTGCAGTGCCTTGGAGGGAGCGTCGCCATTGATCGCAACTTCGGTACTGCTGGAAGCCTTGGTTTTCTTTGGGCTTTGAGTATCGATAACATCGGAGGTACGGCGCCGCTTGCTTCGCTCTTCGCCCGGCCGCGATACCTTCTCTGCGGCATCGCTTGCCCGGGAACGTTTCTGGTGTCGTGCCGATTGGTTGGGAGCCATTGTGGAAAAGTCCCTCTTGAGGGGAGTCGGATAAATTGGTTGATCAGACGGTGAGGGAGAAGGTGTGAATTCCGTCTGTCGTGTCCGGGAGGTTTTCCTACCGACAATCTAGTCCCGACGAAGCTCAAGAAATGTCTATCGCATCTTTTTTTTTTCTCAGAGCAAAATTAGGGCGGTATCGCATGGCAGAAAAGAGGTCCCGCTGACCGCCGTCGCGGGAAAAGTTTCATCGTTTTTGGTGATCAACCCTCTCCGCATCTTCCTCGCCTTATCGCCTTTTTCTCCGATCCTCCCACCTCTATTCACAAGTACACCATGATCATTCCAGTGCGCTGCTTCTCCTGTGGAAAGGTAGGTCAAGAAACTATATCCGGCTTGATAGGCTCTTGACTGATAACTGTCTAGGTCGTCGGTGACCTTTGGGAGCGCTATCTCGAGCTCCTCGACCAGGGTGTGGCTGATGGGTATGTGATCCTCAACGTTAATGTGCGCAATTCTTTGGGTTGTATCTCTCTAACAGCTTTTCCAGTGATGCCATGGACCAGCTTGGTTGCCGCCGCTACTGCTGCCGTCGTATGATCATGACCCACGTGGACCTGATCGAGAAGCTCCTTCGGTATGAGGTTAATCTTCGGGGAGACGACAGACAATCAGCTGACAGGTCTATTTAGATACAACACGGCCGAAAAGGATCGTGCCAATGCGCAGGCTTAATCGTTACCGGTACCCTCTCTCTTTCTTTGACGACTTTCTTCCACGATCGATTCTACTTCAGGCGGGGGAGTCCAGACGTTTGCACCTACGCAAACGCCATGCGCTAGCTGCCCCGGAAAATACATGCTCGTCGAAAATCGCGGCCATTGGCATATAATTGGGGAGTCTTGGTCGCCAAGGACAGGCTGAGCGGAATTCCTCGCTAACCCCTTGGTGTCTGGGATGGAATATCTCAAGGCGATTGCAGTGATGGTGAGAGAATATTGCTGCACACATTTTACAGGTTTCTTTCAATCAGTCGAGGTGGGCTAGACATGATGATGGAAAGGTTTTCGCGACGGGCTGCGTTTTGATCCCCGTCCACATGCATCTGGGAAGGCGTTTTACACACAATTTTGGATTTTGGCGTCTATGGAGGCCCCTTGTACTTTGTAGAAAAAATTCACTACGGCTTGGACTTCAGCCACGTTGTCATGGTGGAGGATGATTGCCACTACTTTCCTGTCTCTGCCTCCAATTGCCGACTCTCCCACGCCGGAGGCTCATGTCAAAGTAGTATTCTCATCCGTCAGGATCCACGAATCCCGAGGTCAAGGTGGAGCCATGGCACAATGGGAAGTACTAACTGTTGGCTGGCTTATGCCTAGTTGAAGTACCGGGGCTGACTCGTTATCGCTGTTTACTGCTAATCGACAGCTGGAAGTCGGACGAGGCTCCGCTTTCCCCCATGGGATCAAAGAATTGGCCCCAATCTGGGTTCTCGCCAGTGTCAGAAGAAGGTTCAATGTTATTCGTGGGGTCCGAGCTGTTGCAAGCGCCTTGCATCCCCATGTGGTCTAGCTGGACGAGCTTGGGGGCCCGCTCCCCGGCGTCTGAGTGGGTACAAAGACCCGAGATGCATGCTCATCACGCCCCAGGCGCCTGGCTCCCTCCGTCCTTTTGGGATCTTTGCCCAAGTGCTGGGAATTCCAACTTGTCCAGCTTGTCCAGCTGGGAAGAGTTCGCATCTCTCACTCCTCGGTCGTATTCGAAGACCTCGATTGGCACCCAACAGCGGCTGCGTGATAACTGGAATCCCGAGAGCCTGGAAAGTAATACCGATGAGTTGTCTGGGCGCGGCCTAAGCTCATTCGAAATTACTTGCGCGGGGATCGCATTCAATTGCTCTTGGGCGTCCTGACTTCCTCGGGTTCTCTTTTTTTCTCTCACACATCCTTCCTCTGTGATCCTCTTTCTACAACTTCGGCCATGATGGCCGTCAGGTCGCCATTGTCCGTCTTGCCATATCGCGACCCCTCCAGCCCCTTTGCGGGGCCTGAGTCAATGTAAGATAGAACCGCGATTACCGAGGAGAGCAATTTGTTCACAATCCTACCGTCACCCTTTCGGTCGCTAATATATGCGCAGGTCTGTGGATATCTCCTCGATCGCAGACAACACCAGAAACTCGACCTATCTCTCCGCAGATCCGGTTTCCACAAACATGGCGGACACTTCGTCGGCGGCCTTTGACAGCCAACAACCAAAGAAGACCGAAGCGGTTGGCGATAAGGTCGATAGTGAGGTAGTAGCTATTCCAGCGATGGCTGTACAAGGACTAAGAGCGGGAACATCACCCCCTCTAGGACTAACCGTATGTACCTTCTCCAGAAGCAAACAAGCCTGTCAAGGGAATTTACTTCCACTTCCCAATCCTCGGACCTTGACCTTAGTGTGCTGACCAAACTAGATTCAAACGGCACAAATGCATCAAAATGGACTTGTCGCAAGATCTGATGAGGACGAACCACCTCAGTCGGTAATCCATGCTCCAGCTGGGTTTGGCGATTTTGTAAGGAGCTCCCTTTCCTTTGGCTTTCAAGTCAATGAGAACTAATCCTCCACCAGGTTAGGTTGCAGACCTCGGAAGAAGAGTCTTGTGAAAATGAAGAATCATCATCCTCGAGCGAAATAGAACATACTCAGTTGATCGATGTCCCGGGAAGGTCAGAAGCATCGCGGAAGGTACTACCACCCTGGTTCCTACAAGATCCAGTTCATCCTTGTACTCGCTAACCATGACAAGTTCGGAAATACCGGCACGAGCCCCGTATCTCCACCTCCGTTGACCACTAGTGTTACGTCGGTCCAGGATTGGTCTGATAGAGCGACTCCTCGGGCACAAACAAGGCAAGAATTCGAAGAATCTGGCCGACGCACACGTTCAAGCAGCTTAGAAGGTAATTCGGGCGACCCGGCATTCCAGACTTTGCATATTGCCCCCCACAATCGCTAACTTTGATCTGATAAGATATACCGGAAGGTAGTGAATTCAAAACACATAGAGTGGCCTCGGATGTGGGAACTAACTTCCCGCCAGGTCATTTTGGTAGTAAAATAGCGGAGATCACTGCTCTTCGAGCAGCTCTCACGGAATGCTGGACCCTCTGCAATACATTGTCTAGCCTCAGTTATATTAATCGAGAAAGACTCCCGCAATCTCACGATGACGGCATGCAAGAGGATGCTTGGCGATCCTGTTGGCGACTATGCCAGAAGCTATATGACACTCGCGACGACGACTATTGGTCACAAATAATCCCAACCCTTGATTTGTGCCGAGATTTTTGCCAGGCTTTATTTGAAGTTCGTGTTTGTGACAGCGACTTGACAGACTCGGTGCTGAGAGTGAGCTTTGAACTAAACAATCACCTCTTCAACACGCACGACCGCAACCTTCCCGACGCATTCCGTGAGCGTACATTGGATTTTTACATAACCCTTTGCCACCGGCTCATGAAGCAACGAACCCGTCTGACGGAGACGGACTCTCTCCTCAGTGCCTGTTGGGCGCTTGCTGAGATGTTGTTCAGCATTCGGCAGGCCAAGAGAGAAGGGAGGGAACTAGACGAGGAGTTGTTGGGCTCGGCAGTTCAAGCCTGCTGGGAACTCTGCGATATCTTCCGTGAAGGTTGGACTCTGAACAGCTTGCGCAGCTCAGATCGAGGCACTCCACGTCCAAGTCAAGCCACCTTTGCCCAGGCTTTCCAGCAAGTGTCGCAACAGTCAGAACTTGATTTTGTCGACGACTTGCTAGAACAAGCCCCAAACCCCGAGACACCGACCACGATCTTTGACGATGCCGCCACAGTCTCCCCCGATGAAGCATCCGCTCCCAATATCTTAGTACTAGGGCATGGTACTGGCCACACAACTTCCCATTCTACATGGCCTTCCAATGTTTCCAACGTCTCCGAGAAGTCTCGATCATCCGGGCAAACAGCGTCTTCTGCTAACACTGTCACCACCATGTCGGAGGACCCGAATTTTACACGCCTGAAAGTTCTGATCACTAAGGCTGCCATTATCAGTGGCTATCAGCGAGGAGGAACGCAAAATCTGTCCTCATTTGTGAAATCGCTTCCTTCGGATGCATTTGGCTCGGCGCTATGGCAATCCTCGTTATTGAAGAGTTATCGGAAGCTAGTTGCATTTGATCCTGCATTCCGCAATGTTGGATCCCAAGCACGTGTTAGCGCTATCGACGTGGCACGCGCATGCCAGGCAATGGCTCAGAATGGACAGTACTCCTGGTTGCGTGACCTATATCGACTTGTTTTTGGATTTCATCTAGAAGAGGCTGTAGGCCGCAAAGGCGTGACTATTCAGACATAGTCTGGAAGGGTCTGCACGCCGCTCCACCTTCTTTTTATATAATTTTATAATATTGATGACCTTGGAACCCGCCTCCAGTATTTGACCTTACCAACCCTCACAGTTGTCGCCGTAGCTGGACATGAATAAATACAAGGTCGCGGACTAGGAGAGGGGTTGCTCCTTCCAGTGAAAGTCCAGTGGCTACTGTCTTACGAGAAGATAATGAAGGCCAAGGTCAAGGATGGGTTAGATGTCACAATTATATCTTGTTTAATGGACGACGGAACTGGCGTTGGCGTTGCAGGATGTAATGTCATAGAATTAAATCAGACTACCTAGCAGATAACTTTGTTCCACAAGTTCATTCTACCCATCCTGAAATAAGAACCATCATGACACGATCAAACAGCACTCTTGGTCTCTTGGACCTCCACATGTTCCGTGGCCTTTGCCTTCTCGTCATCCTCGCCGAGCTGTTTGTGAACGGCCGCAGCGACCTCGTTGGCCTTTTCTTTGTCCTCGAACACTGCTTACATTAGCTCTGTCTCTTGTAGTAGGGCAGGAATACCACTTACGGAACGACAGCTCCTCAAGGGTGCGGCCCGAGGTTTCGGGGAAGAAGAAGTAGATAAACACCAGCTCAAATACCAGCCAGCAGCAGTACACCAAGAGCCACTTCCAGGCGATGTTCGCCAGACCAACGGGGTTCACGTAGGTGGCGAAGAAGCTTGCGCCGCGGCCATAGAACTGGAACCAGGAGAGACCGCGTGAGCGGCCCATGTAAGGGAACAGCTCGACCAGATACGCTTGTTTGTGTCAGTATATAAACACGCTCTAGAACGGGAGGGACACGTACTGTAGGTTAGGGCGTTATAGCCGAGGTTGTAGGCGGGCGAGTATGCGAAAATGAAGAAGATGGTCAGTTTCGCTGCGGCTTGTGCCTTTGTGCTTATGAAGCGCTCCATGGAGATGGTCCATGCGATGTACACACACAACAGGCAGCTTGCGCAGGTGAGGTACATCGGCCGACGCTTGAAGCGCGGCGCCGTTAGTGCCAGCGCAGTGCCACAGACGAGACCCCAGCAGGCAATGCCGATGTTGATCTTGGACTTGGTCACGCTGTTGGTGATTCCGACCAGATTCAGGATGTCGCTCAGATAGTACCTATTACATGGATCAGCAAAGGCTAGAAGCATATATGACAGATGCCACAGGCGGATACATACGTAATGAGCGTGTTGCCCGACCACTGCGTGAACAGGCCGAGAAAAGCGGAGATGAACAGTCGACGACGCATACCGGCCGTGCGGAACATGTCCCACCAGGATTGTTTTGACTCTTCGAGTTCCATCTTGATGGTGCGCTCAATCTGCGCCAGTTCGGCCTTGACAATGACCGAGTTGCGGTCGCCCTCCGCGTGGTACTTGGTGAGGACGTCAAAGGCGTCATCATAGCGGTCTTTGCTGATCAGGTATCGGGGACTTTCGGGAAGGAACCTGGGCGTGTGTTAATGGGAGCAGTCTAGATAGCGGTATGGAGCATCCTACATAACCGTCGCAATCTGGATCATGGCGGGCGCAATCTGAAGCAGGGATGGGATTCGCCATGCCCAGTTGGACGAAATGGTCACCGTTCCCAGGCCCACGGATGCCGCAATGATCTGACCGATGAAGTACGAGGAATTGAAAAGCGAAGTCAGAATCGGTCGTTCTTTGGGGTAACCCAGCTCTCCCAGCATAGATGACCCTGCAACGATGCAGAACGGGATTCCAAATCCTAGAATGATACGCGCGACGACATACATGGCCACTGGAGAATTATCAGAGATCATACCACTTCAAGAATAAGGAAAAGAGTGAAGATACCTCCATTAGCGAAACCCTGGATCAGGGCCCCGACCAAGCTCACGCATGAACCGAACATGATAGTCCATCGTCGTCCGACTCGCTGGTTGAGATACGGGACAAAAGGCAGAGCGAGAATGGCTCCGAGGGAGTAAGCAGCACCCAGAAAGCCCTTAAGGTTCGCCTCAATCGCATATTCGGGGCGTCCATCCACGGTCTTCCCGGTTGGATGACCGAAATCTATATCGTAGCGTTAGCGTCTGTTGCAGAGATCACCCTGAAGGGAGAAGACATACACTTGTTCCAAGTATACACGATCTGGACGGTGTTGATAATCTGGGAGTCGAATCCCGATGTGATCTCGATACCCATACAGGCCGGGAACAAGATGAAGTAGAGTCGTCTCAGATTCGGCTTCTTGTACCAAGGCGTACGGTCATCGGCCAGCAAGTTAGCCAGCACGGGCTCGGCAACATTCTCCTCGCGCTGTTTTCCCACCACGACCATGTTGAAAGGCTGATGTTTGGATGCTCACAACTGTGCTGCTGATCCGTGGACCCATGAAGACTGGCTGGGACTGAATCATGGTTATATATATCCTAACCGTTCTATGCTCTTTATCCAGCGCGAAACCCCTTGACACGGCACGTTGGTCCAGTACCGACCTGCCAAGATCTGGCTGACCTATCAAGTGATGCACAGGCGGGCACTGGATGGCTTCATTCTATCGTATGGAGGAAGACAATCCGGGTACGATCCCCGCTGGAGGGATTATACTTTCCATCACCCCACGGGGAAGCTGCGGACGGAAGGTGGGGGTACAAGAAAGCTAGAATTCTGGCTTACAAACTTATGGATATGGTTGAACCGTTGCTCAACCCCGAATCCCATGATAGTCTTGGCACTTCATCTTAGCCTAAATAAGGCTAGTCGGATGTAGGGACTTCGCGGAGTCTCCCCGGAAGCCTCGGGCCAAGAGTAAGACGACGTTTGCCAGGAGCTCGCTACTCAAATGGAAACGGAGCTATGGCAGCTTCCATACGGATTAAAATTTTTATTAAGATATACAGACACATATTTTGGGCAGTTTATACTACATTTCCAAGCTACCATGCATCAACCACTCCAACAGCACACTCAACTCCTTGATCCCTCCGCCCTCCTCGCCCCAAACCTTTAATCGCTCAATGACCACTCGCACACAGTCCGCCCAGTCAGGAGGAATACTCACATATTCAGCCGAGGGGCGCTGCGTCAACTTGGCGCGAAATCCCGCAATCAGGCAAAGCGCATGGTTGAAACGGACTCGACATGCTCCCCATGACCCTGGATGCCGGAAGAATGGCACCTCGGTCTGGATGCGATAAATTGCCAACCGTAGCGCCTCGCTCGCTTTGACCCCATACAGCGCTGCCATCCCGGGGTCGAGTGGTACATGAATACACAGGTATAAATACGCGCGGCAAAGCAGTTCGCGCACCTCGACGTATCGTTCACGACTTAGCTTCATGAGCTCACCCTCCTTCGGTCCAGGGGCGGATTCGAGAGGCATGTTGAACCGGAGTGTAGGTGGGAGACAGTCTACCCACTGCTGGAGTTGACCTTCCAGCTGCGTCAGAGTTTCTGCCAGAACCTTGATGGTCGGCAGGTCGATACCCGGGGAGAGCACACGGACTGCATTGCGGGCCCGGTTGAGAAGCCTGCGCAAGAAGATCTCGGCCAGGTAATAGTAGGAAGATGCTGCTTCAAGGTCTGTGGACGAGGGATTGGAAAACATCCACCCAGGGCTGTCGTGGGACGGTTGTCTCGTGGGGAAACTTGGGAGAGAATAAGGAAAGTCGGAGAGGCTGAGGTCGCAAGGCGGGAGATCTGTCAGTTCATATCGAACCTCACTATTGTATGTCAGCCCGTTGTGTGAGGATTAGAGGTTTGTGGTGTATGTTATACCATTCGGACTTTAAGCATGTCCAATATAGTCGCTGCTCCAGACCTTTGGGGGAATGTTAGACACGATCCGCAATGGAGAGATTAAATCACCTACTCTCTTCCTGTGCACTTCTGATCGCCTTTCCCTCGCGGTGCTTCAAACGATACGTTTGCCATAGCATGGATGCCGTTCGAAACATTTTCCAGCCCGGAATTGGCTCGATGTTATACTGATACCAAATTCTACGGAGGCAATTAGATGTTCGTATCTTGAAGCAGTTGAGAAGAAGGAGCTCACCCGAATAGACAGAGACACTGTACTCCCAGCAAGGTATCGTCGAGATACGCAGTGGAGATGCGCTTACGCGCCATGGAGAGGAAGGTCAACGATTCCTTCATTCGGTGCTCCGGAACCGACATTGTCACGTAAGTGATCGGTGGACTGAACGATGGTTCATTGTATGAAACCTCGCGGGTTTCGTCGTCGGGATAATTCCCCCAGATGGCCGCAAGCGCAAAGATAAGTAGCACCAAGCACGACGAGGCGGACCAGTCAATGCCATTTTCCAGCACTCGAGCGATATACGAGTCTAGTTGGTCCCGGTCAACGATCGGGTTCTTGGTCCAGATCTTGGTCATGAAAATCTCGCGCAGTTCGAGGAGCCTTTGCGGATCTAAGCTTGGTAGAGCTGTAACTGTCCATTAGTATCGGAATCTGGGATATGATGCGTCGAGAAAGACCATACCCGTTTGAAAGCGATCTGGCTTCTCGGAATACGCTGCCATGGGAAAAGTCGACACAGGCTTCTCTTTCGGAAAGATAGGCCAGCTGAGAATCATGTCCGACCCGGTGATAGGCGTCTTGGGTGCATCATTGCGCGAGATTGACTCGGGATCTACTTCGTCCACTGGGGATGGCGACGCCTGTTGTGAAAAGAGAGGAGGCCCCACGTTCAAGGACAGGCTCTCCGATAGAAGCCGCTCTTGACGTTCTACTGCTTCTAGGATTCTTGCGCCCCATGTCTCTAGACTTTGAAATAGAATTGGTGTTATTAGATGCCTCGGCTAGTGGGAGAAAAAAAAAGCTCTATGGGAACCGACACTGAGATGGCATCCGTCTCCGGATACTCGCATGCTACACCCCGCTGGATACATTTGGCGCATACTGGCCGTGCCGAATCACATCGAGTCTTGCTGAGACGACAGGCATCGCATGCGGTGAGCACCCGAGAATGCTTGCGAGGTCGTGCAGTTGACGAAGTGTCCATTTCTTCCCTTGCTGGGGGGCTTCCTGCCAGTGCGGACCCGGAATACTCAGAGGAGGATAGGTTGGGTAAAAAGGGCCAAGAGCAAAACGGGGAAGTCGGTGATTGGTGATGGGTCTTGGCGAATGATGGCTGAAGCATTTCCTCCAATCAAGCCGAGACGACCTCATTTTAGCCGGAATAATCTAGAGTCCCCGCCAATACATGGTGCGATCCACTTGGAAGTTACCGCGGGCCACCACTTCCTGGCTTGAGGTTCCAATCAACACTTCATACGTCCCTTGCTCGCTCTTCCACATATCCTCGATCTCATCCCAGAAGCTGGTCGCATATCGGTCTAGCTGGATCTCAACCGTTTTTACTTCCCCCGGCTGTAGGAATACTTTCTCGAAACCGTGCAGTTCCTTGCTTGGGCGCGGGGTCGGGGATTCGGGGGCAGAGATGTACAGCTGGAGAACCTGGGCGCCCGCCAGTTTGCCCGTGTTTTTGATTTGTACAGTGGCAACTGTAAGATGGTCCATGTGGAAGATCTCCGGGGCGACGGTAACCTTCGGCGAGACCTCAAAGGTAGTGTATGATAGGCCGTGACTAGAAATGCGGGTTAGATGAGATGTGGTTAAATGAGACAAGAAGACGACAAAGCCTAACTCACCCAAATGGAAAGAGGACCTCCCGTCCAGTCTTCTCGTAGAATCGATAACCGGCATAAATGTCCTCGCCGTACAGCACTCGGCCACCCACACTGGCGTAGTTCAGATAGGCCGGGTTGTGTTTCACATCCACCGGCCACGACAAAGGCAGCTTTGCGCATGGATTGACCTCTCCGAAGAGGACATCGGCAATTCCATGACCCGTCTCGTTACCTCCGTACCAGGCCTGCACAATGCAGCGGGCTTGGTCGGCCCACGGCATAGTAACGGGTGTACCAGACTGATTGACGATGACAGTCTTGTCTGCGGCGACCTTCAATACCTTCGAGATCAACCGGTCGACTCCTGGTGGCAGATCCATATGCGTGCGATCGAACCCTTCAGATTCCCAATCCTTGTTGAGCCCGGTGCAAATAATGGTGTAATCGGCCTCTGCGGCAGCTTCCACGGCATTCTCGATCATTTCCTCCTGGTCCATCCGTAGACAGGCCCCCATATTCGCGGCGCCGCCACCGAAATTCACCATTCCCACTGTTTTCATTGTGGTAGTGTTGGCGGAGCCGAACTCAATCCGAATCTTGTATGTAGTCCCAGCAACTAATTCCTTCGATCCCAGCTCCTCAACCGTGCCTTTGCCGAAGAATGCCGTCCCGCGTGTCTGGCTAGTGGTGTTGTCGATCACGAGCTCGTCGTCAATGTAGAGATTTGCGGTACCAAAGACACTCAGACCAAAGTCCCAAAGCCCGGATGCGTCGGGCATAAAGTCGCCAATCAGTGTGGCCCAAAAGAGCCCGCGGTTGAGGCCGGGGGCATAGTAGTCCATGAACTGGAAGGCCGTCGTCGATACAGGCTCAGTGCTGATCAGATGTCGTTCCTTGCCCATCGGCTCGTTGTAGAAATGAATGACGGCATTGCTCAGGAGACGGTCTATCACGGGCAGCATCTTATGGGCGTATGCGCCTGCTTCATAGAGCGCCTCCACGTTGGGAAGGGCTTCTTTGCAGGCGTCGTATAGCGAGACAGAGTAATATGGCTCAAGCGACGCACTGCCACCCCCCGATATGGCGGGAGTCTTCATGTGAGATCCGACAAGGGCGATTTTTTTGATCTCCCTTGGAAGTGGCAAGATGCCTTCGTTCTTGAGAAGGACGATGCTGTTTGCACAGATTCTGCGATTCAACGCTCTATCCTCTGGGAAATCCCTTCCTTGCTCCACTTCTGACACTTGGACCTGACTCGCTTGCTTCACGAATTCCAACACCTTCCGCGCTCGTGCATCAATAGTCGATTGCTTGATCAGGCGAGCCTGCATCGCGGACTCGAGGTACTTTCCTCGATATCTGGACACCCCCGGCATTTCCAGGTCAAGGCCCGCATTCATGGAGTCGATGGTTGTGTAGGTTCCGTACCAGTCGCTCATAACCAGCGGGTTCCATTTCCACTCTTCGCGAATCAGATTGAGCATGCGCGCATCCTCCACCACATGCTTCCCATTGATCTTATTATACGAGGTCATGAGTGCGCCGGGCTTCGCATCTCTCGCCACAATCTGAAAGGGTCGTAGGTAAATCTCGCGCAAGGCTCGCTGGGTGACGAGGACGTCCACCGCCCGGCGTTCATGTTCCTGATCGTTGCCCACGAAATGCTTCACCGTGGAAATGATCCCTTTGCTTTCGCATCCGAGGATGATTGATTTGGCCAGAATTCCCGAGAGATGCGGATCTTCTGCAAATGATTCGAACCCACGGCCACCGAGGGGAGCACGCTGCATGTTAATCGTTGGTCCCAGCCAACAATGCGCCCCTTTCGCAATGCACTCGTCACCCAACAGCTTCCCCGCTTGGTATATCAGATCCGTGTCCCAGGTGGCGCCCAGAGCTGTGCCGCAAGGCAAACATGCGGCGGGGATGCCGGCAAAGAATTTCGTGCCCCGGACACCATTGGGACCGTCGGTGGCGCGAATCGAGGGGACGTTGAATTCGGGGATAGGATGCGTGTGCCAGAAATCAATTCCTGCTTTTTGTTAGCGAATGAGAGTCCCCAAAAGAGATCACCGTCTCTGTGTTACCAGATAAAAGAGCGATCTTGTCCTGGTCGCTGATATTCGCTAGGACATGCTCTATATCGAATGTCTCGGGCATAATGAACACTTGGAATAGAAAGAAAGTTAATCCAAAGAAAATCTATGCCTGTAAGTCTCTATGCAGAGAGAACAGAAGCAGACCATACAGCGACTACATATAAGTACCTACGCAGTCCGCCGCTTCGAATCTTTTACCATCGAACTCATGTTTTCGATGGGGTCCCTCTGGGCGCTATTCCCCCGAGTTCCGACAACCCAGCGACGCGTCAACGGCGGAGACTCCCCGACTCGGTGGAGACCTGCGAGGGGATCCCCGCATCTCCCCTCTTACTCTCGCATGATTAATCTATCTTTTAAGAAAGGGTAATCAATATGAATTTCTCGTCTTTGCAAGCCTTGTATGGAATACCCTTTATATTCCTGCGACTGGTTCTAGCGTTATACACCGTGGTGGGGGAAATAGTCTGCATACACAGGGCATCCCGAATTGGTGGATTGTGTCTGGTGTACAGTCATTCCATATGTAGTTTCCATCTATCAAATAGTTCGAATATCAACCGTTCCACTATATTTTCTTCTTTGGGAGGGCCTGCTGATTGTGGTGGTGTATGGTGCTTTAGTGGTTTCTTGATCCTATCCACCCCTTTCTGCTACGTCGGAACTTTCTGCGGCCTTCTCAGGTTCAATATTTATCTGCCTCTTGAGTTAATTCGTACGATTACAAGGAGTTTTGGTACTATCTGGATTCGCTAAGCATATATCCATTTTCAATGTTATGGGGACCAAAAAACTTCAATATGTATTAACTTCAATTTTAGCTCACGCGCTCCATGGTCTCAGGTTTACAGAAAACTATGAATTTCGAGATCTTTTCGCAGCCTTGAATTCAATTAATTACACGGAGTGATATATAGTAAAGTCAGTTTTACCAACGCACTACCGAGTTCAGTAATGACTGTCCTACTCTGGACCAGGCCCTACTGGTTAAACTTGTATTTCCTGACCGTCGCCTGCACGCTCTCTGGGTAAACGACCCAGTAGTATGGATTGGACTTTGCTCGAGGCTCGACAAGATCGACCTAAACAGTAAGTATAGATCATTGACTTTCATGCTTGGATACTCACATCGTAGTTTATGAAGAGCGCTGTGACAAACTTCTTGATTTCAAAAAGGGCGACGTGCTGGCCCAGACAACCTCGTGTCCCGGCCCCGAACTGCTACAATCAGATGTTGAACGGCAGTTGGCTAAACTTGACTTACACTAAGCAGGCTGGCTTCAAGCTTTCTGATATGCGACGGTTCGCCTTCCAACCAGCGACGGGGGCGCCACTGATCCGCATCATCGCCCCATGTCGGCTTATAGCGGTTAGTAATATATGGGCTCATGCCAACCACGGTGCCTCCAGGGTAAAATTGACCACAGATTGTGGCTCCCTCGGCCGGAACTACTCTTTCAAGAGGCATAGCGAATGGAGAGTCAAGTCGGAGTGACTCTTTAATACAGGCGTCCAGAAAAGGGAGATTCTGCAGCTCATGCCATTGTGGGAAAGGTAGAGTGAGCCCGGTGGCAGTACTTTGCTTATCCCGTAGCTCGGCCCGTACCGTTTCCAGTGCGTCAGGGTGTTCTACTAGGAAACAGACCACAGATCGAAGCATAGAAGCCGTGGAGTCGGCCCCTCCCAGAATATTAGCAAAAGTCCACGTTGACACAAATCGAAGGGGTACATTATCCTTTTTCTCCTGGGCATTGAGATAATACCCGAGGAAGTCACCATCTGCAATGGGTCCATCGACATTTGCAGAGGACGATTTGGGATTTTTCCGACGTTCTTCCTGGCGCTCTGAAATACGCGCCAAGACGTAGTCCAGTAGAGGAGCAATGGCTTCGCGTTTGAAGAGATTTGCTACCCAGTTCTTATGCAAAATCCAATCAAGCCATGGTATCTGCGTTATCTGCACGTAGCTAAGTCTTGTCCCATCTCAAAATCCTCCGTCAGATATAACTTACGGGTCCGATAACCAGGTTTGCCCGCTTCACGTCGTCCATGATGCCGTGTAAGTCTCTCCCATGCTGAACGTAGCCATATGGCCGGGAAAATGTCATCAAGCCCATTGTATCATAGGATAAAAATTTCATCCACTGTGTCACGTCGAACCGTGCTCCCGTGGGCACGAACCGGCGATCAAGCTCATCAAAGAACATTCGCGAAGCACCATCCATTCTTGGCTCAAAAGAGGATACAGCGTACGAGAGTGAATAATACACAGAGATGTGTTGCTTCATCTCTCGATTTGCGGCATCGTCTTCTGCGGTGAAGACAGAGAGGAGTAAGCCGTCAGTGGTCCAAGGTCGGAAGGCGCGGTACATCTTGCTCTATAATCGAAGATGTTCGCATCCATAATTTAGGAGAGAGATAGCTTGATGGAGATAAGGAATACATACCTTAGGAAATCCGCCTCGCAGGTTGAAGATTGTCTGGATGGCTTCCGGGTCACAAATGCATACTAGATTGGGACCGAATCGTATAGCGGGACCATATCGTTGGTGAGCGAGAGATTGGTGCAGGTGGATGAAACCACGGCGCGCTATGATGAAGCGATAGAAGTCGGTGAATTTTGCGATGAGGGGGCCGGGGATGTGCTGCAACCGCGAGTATGTACGGTAGAGGTGATAAACAAGCACTGTGGCGATTGTAGCACCCAGAACAACTAGTCTCTGATTCGTGTTCAAGGATTCCCACATCATTTTGAGTGATAATGATGGTAAATTTAGCTAGGTGGCGAAATGTAGCATGTCACTGTTAGTCCACACTTCCTCTATATTTATAGGAAGAGGCACAGCGATTGAATCAAGATAAGAAATGACAGGGCTATAAGGCAACACTGGTCAGCCTAGGACCAACTTAGGATATCCAGTGGTTCGGTGATAATACGATCCTCAGAAGCCGCAGGATACTGCCCTGTTCTGCACACCGATTAATGCGACAATCCCCAACTGCATTCCTCGGTGTATGTGTTGTGTTGTGTTACACAACTTTAGAACCGCGTCAAGGGTCGGCAAAATTGACCAACTTATCGTGATGATCGCTCGCCAAGACTCCAAAAAGGGAGGTATTGGGCAGAATACGAGAACTCGATTGCTGCAAAGAAGAAGATTGCTGCAAAGAAGGACTATAGGAGTGAAGAGCAATGCTCCCTTCTGCACCTAGATAAATCGTAATGCAAAACTGGAGCCAGCTGACCAAAGTGAAATACGAGACAACCACTCTGTATCATTCCACGTATGGTGTAAATACAGTTGAGGATTGGTAGAGATCGGAGGCAGGATAGGTCCTTAGAATAAAGAAGACTAAACTACAATAAATCGAATTAGAAAAGAAATTCGTTTGAAAAATCGTGCGGTCCAAGCTCAAAGTCACAGAGCCAGAACCGCACCATTTTGAAATCCAGTAGACTGCGTATTATGCTACTTTTCTCGTTATTCGTAAGATCGAAGAGACATGGTTAATTAAATAATCAGCCAACGGTAGGACAACCTGTGAGTAGCAACGAGAAAGCTTAAAGTGAGCGTAGTACGTCTAGCAAATTCTGCAAGGAGGTAATAGTTTATTTGGATAAGTTGATCGAGGCACCTACAGTATTCTCTTATTGGCCTGCAGGTTCCGATTTCTTCAAGGAACTTTATAGCGAAACAGCGGTGAGTTAAATCGCGCGTGACGGCTTTAATCACCGTGGGACGCAAACCGTTCCAATTTCTTAAATAAATGAAAATTCATATGTGCCGAGTCCCCGTATGTAAGCCCTTCTTATCGGCTTTTCTCGGTTAATGCTCTCAGGCCGCATGAAGCGAAGTCTGTCCTGGCTCTCAGACCATGCCTCTGATGAGCAAACCCATCCAAAGGGCGTACTGGAAATGGACAAGGCAGAAAATTGGCTTGTCCGACCAGATATACTTCCTATAATCAAAGAGGCAGTGTCATTGAACCTGAAAAAGCAGGATCTCTCATATTCTCAAGGGCTAGGTGGCCCTCCAGAGCTTCTAAATGCGTCCGCGTCATTTTTCAATCGCTTCTTCACTCCTCACGTCGCTGTTTTACCCGAGCACATTGTTACAAGCACAGGGTGTGCATCGATTCTTGAGACGCTTATCTTCTCGATTTGCGATGCTGGAGATGGTTTACTACTAGAGACACCCATGTGGGATGGGTTTGCGGTCACATCAATGCTGAGAAATAACGTCCAAATATTTCCCGTGAAGTACTCGACACGACCAACAAATGCAGCGGATCTTATACGGCACTATAGTGAAGCGATGAAAAATGCAACATGTCCAATTCGGGGCCTCATCGTTTGCAATCCCCACAATCCTCTCGGTCAGATTTACCCTACCATATGGTTAGAGGCGCTGCTTCAATTCTGCGAAGGTCACAATATACACTTCATCTCGGACGAAATATATGCCCTTTCAAATTTTGGGGAGATTGCGATGAGATATAGTCTGGACGTCAGCAACCCCGACGTTATGATTGGGCTGGAAACGAAATTCACATCGGTCTTGGCAATAGACTTAAAGCGACTTAAGGTCGATCATGCTCGTGTCCATATAGCTTACAGCATCAGCAAGGATCTGGGTAGTAGTGGAGTTCGACTGGTTCGTCTGAATTCTCAATGAATACATGGGTGCAAACTATCACTTACATATTGTCAGGGGTATCTCGTTACACAGTCGAATCCTAGGCTTCGCCATACACTAGCAGTCCTTAACAGATTCAAGGTGTGTAATGTAGCATCGATAGCCGTTGCGTCTCTCTTCTCGAATCTTCACACACTTGAAAGTATACTGGTCCGTGGCAAATCTCGCCTACGCATAGCGGCGGAGATGGTAGGGAATTTCATGTTATTCCATAAGATTGCATTTTATTCTCCAGTTGCTGGATGCTTCATGTGGGTGCGGATTGGGGGCGAGTTAGCAACAAAGGAAACTGACGCAGCGCTTTTTGAAAAGTTTGAAGCGGCAGGTGTGGCCGTTGCTGCTGGTTCTAAGTTCAACGGCGGAGAACCGGGCTGGTTTAGACTCACATTTGCTCTACCCCGGGATAATCTGATCGAGGGACTACGACGAATCGAGATTGCAATGGAGGCAAACCGACATTGGATACCAGAGAAAAGCCAATTGTGAAGTTAACGGCATTTATCATGGTTTTGAGCGAGGCTACGCATTGCGTTGATCCCACTTGACCGGGTCTCTACTTGACTTCGTGTAGACATGGTCTATGTCTTTAAAGCTGTATCTCATTTACTTTTGAATCAATTCATGGGGCGCGTTACTTCAAACTGAGGAGCATTTCCACCTCTAAGACCGCGCCTAGATAGCTATCCGCTAGACGATAATAACGCGGTTGTAGATTTGTAGTCAAAATTATGATAGGTGTAAGAAGGCACAATTAGAATACTGATAAATTAAGTTACTACAAAAGCTACAGTACTTTACTTAGTATCTCAGTCGTTTCGCCTAGATATCCTCTAATTCGAACGGTGGTACGGAGCCTACCCAGTATCCCAAGTGTCTTAAGTGGCTACCGGACTGGTGGACTCATTTGCATCATTGTGAGATACGACTTGATAGTTGATCTCTAGAGATTAAGCACAGTCTGAATATTGAAGAGGGGATCTCCTATCAGCTAGGACACCTAGCGGTCGACGGGTCATCATCGTGCAGCTAATGCCACTGCCACCCAATCCACACATCCATAGAAATAGCATTGGTGCCAGCATTATTTGAGACTACTACCCGGGGGTAAGATCAGACAAGATGTAGGAGTTTCTATTTTCGTACTATCTAAATAACCGTATGTAAGCTGTCGATTTAGTATACTTTCAAGAAGAGACTAGCCTGATCAGTACTAGGCCACAAGTCTTAACAACTATTTCGGGGCACTCTTTCCCTACATCACTATCTAAATACACTTACGAGAGTAAAGGAGTTAATGAAAGGAATATATCTAAACCCTATGTATTAGTATTCTAAATCTAGCTCATATCGGGCATACTAGTCGTAAGACCAATCTTCATCTCCCACGGTATACCCGTTTGATAGCTTTAGCCCTATTGGCAGACCGTGGGTGTACTTGTGAGTGTATGCTTCCCCGGTGCGTCTGGAGACTACCTCGTTGATGTGCATGTGCATATCATAACTGCTATTAATCAGACGAGGGCGCTTCAAAAATAGATATCGACTCACGCATTCATCTCTTCAATTGTCAATTTCCCCTGCTCACTCTTCACTACGTAAACTGGATTGTGAATGTTGCTGGAGAATCCTACATAGAAGTTAACACTCATGAGTCGGATGTTTTTAGAGTGCCGACGCCTTACCGATTCGCTCGTTGATATTTTGTGAGGCTCTCGCTGCTGCTGCCTGAACCCTGGTTGCTCTCGGGAGACGAACTAACTCGTAGGTAGATAGTGACTCAGACACATCTCCCATGAAATATTTCTTGCTGAAAAGAATTCCCAGGGCGGCTGCATCTTCGATTGCCATACAGGCCGCTTGACTTTGGTGAGGCATCATCTGAATGTCTGTCAGCTCAATTTTTGATCCCGTGAAACCCCGTGGTTTAAGTCTGTGCCATACTGGATGAGCTGCATCGCCTAGCAAGCAGACCATATTTCTTGCAATATATGGATAAGGCTCACTGCAAACAATTTAGCCTCGTTGACCAAAGGCTATCTAAGTGTTAGGCTAAACTTACTGCATCCATAGACGCCATGGCTGGATTTCTTTGCCAAGGGTCAAATGTCCGCGAACTTGCGGATCAAGTTGAGGGTACGGCGCGAGGAGCTCTTCCACTGACCGGTCAGATTCCCCCCAATAATGATTCATATAATCTCCTTTCTCTCGCGGAAAAAAGCAATAGTACGATAGCAACTTGCCCCCTCGGCATGGAGAGAGTACGATCTTGTCCCAGACCTCCCCATGACCGCCCCAGAACTGCAGGGCGTTATCTTTAGAGAAGTCGGTAAAGCCAGCGGCGATCGCGTCTTCAGTGACGACGTTTGCATGTAGACAACTAGACTCGGCTGGGCGCTTCTCAGGCCAGATGTCGAGGATGCCACGAACGGCGGATCCGATGCCATCCGCGCCAATTATGAGATCATGGTTGGCTATCTCACCGTTCTCAAACTCAATCAAACCGGTAATAATGTCAATTTTCTTGCACTAATAAGAAATGTTAGACTAGATACGGGGGAGGCTTATGGTAAGCAGCTGTGTTTATAGTGACTCTATACATTACCTTATGATTCATGAAGAGTTTCGCGGGTACACCCTCGCCCTCCCCCAATGCTGAATCCTTCAACATCGTGTGCATACACTGCCGCTGAAACATATAGTACACATACCCCCATCGTTCCTCATAATCATCCAGTTCATACTCGGTCAGAATTTTGCCAGTCGTCCAATCGCGGCTGATGAGCTTTTGTAGGATAACACCATCGCCTTTAGCCACATCTACGCCCCACTCGTGTAGCCAGCGCGTACCGTTCGCTGCACATGAAATAGAAGCACCGGCTTGACCTAAGGAATCGGCACGTTCGTAAATAGACACCCTGTGGCCCGCACGGCGCAGGGCGGTCGCCGCGGACATCCCTCCTATCCCGCCGCCAACAACGGCTATGTCTAACTGCCGCCAGCCAGAAGATGAATATGAGCCCATGAGATGCGGTGGGTTTAAAAGCAAATTTTGTAGTTCTTTCCTTGGCTGGGAGGTGTTCTCTCGGGATATTTGTAATATAGCTAGGTCCAAATGCCTCGTCGGAAAACATTCCATGATCGATTACCTTCGATTATCCGGCCCACGCTATAAGTTCTTACTATTTTGACAAGATGTCAATAAAATGACCAATATAAACAAGCAGCAAGGGACTCGGGTAACACAGCTTAGCATATAAATGTTTATTTTACGGGATATGATTGCTTTCCCGTCTATCGGTAACTGCATGCCCCACTATTTGGCTATCCTGCCGTAAATATTCTTTTGCAGGTTATCCTGCATGGGTCTGAGACATATAAGCTGGTTCTGTGCGGCGATAGCTCCTGTGGGAGTCCCCAAAGTGTAGCTACACCGCATATTTTGTTAACGGGGTTCCAGAAATCCTTTAATTGCTCAACTATATTTGGATACTTTTAACCAACATCCCGTCAATCTGGCAATTAAATTATATCTCGCTACCTTAAGTCTCTGAGGAGATCTCCCAATAGTCTGTGTTGATACCGCATGAACCATGAAGCGGTGCCGCCTCTTCTCTAGCTCACTGATAAGTCTCTCAGGTCCACCCGTGGATCTGCTAGACAGATATGAATGGATAAGCAAAATGCCTCATCTCATCTCATCTCAGAACTTTAACTTTGGGTTCTGTGGAAAATATTGCTCGTCATATGTAACGTGTACACTCTCTGGACAACGCTAAGCCGACATATTCTTTTGCATTGGCTCAGTCAGCATATAGACTTTCCTTCGTTTACGTCACATAACGGTTAATACTACTACCATATTCAACGTATCTACAAGGCACGATCTTATATTACCGGGTAGGTACAATACAAATTGATAAATTATAGATTCGACTATAGTACTCCCCGGACAACGCTACGCCAATAGCTCCACAGTGCATTAGCTCAGCCAATATATAGGCTTGCTTCTTTTACGGTATTGACGATTAATACTACTATATTAAACGCATCTATAAGGTACGATTTTATATTACCGGGTAGACATAATACACACCAATAAATTGCGATATGCACCGGTTATCGGCGTAGCGTTGTCCAGGGAGTATATATGCGAGATGAAATAAAGGTACGCTAACCGAGGGCGCTAAAAAAGGCGGTCTTTAAGTTATGTACTAAGAATTTCTTGTGTTCGCTCACAACAATTATTATGAAAGGATGGTCTATTAAGTCTTGAAATATTCCTGATACTTTGATTTAGTCATTTCAAAGTAAGTGGGAGACGTTTAAATTCAACATAATTAATCTTAAGGAGTTTTGAGTTGTATCGCCTATTTTTTCTAATAATTTTCCACTCTCCCTGTAGCTTTTCATATAGCACTAGTATCACCGTTCCGCCACGTATACTATATTCAATAGTCTGGTATGCATATTTTACGCCGAAAGAAAGCGGTCGGTGCTAATATCATCAACGAGCAGCTTTAGGGTGTTTCTATTAACCTAAGCCTACTTATAGTGATCCTTATCCCTCCTTTGAAATAATCATACACTATTCTTAGGCCTAGGATTTAGCAACATTTTTATCGTAAGGGGCTTCTTGGTATCATAAAAGTAATAGGTTTCCCTACTACACTCTCCGACCGTAGATTACCCGATAAAAATTAATAGTGCACTTTTAGTTCATTCGTATCTTAGTCACTAGATCAATCTTACCTCCCTATAACCCATAGAAAAAGTCTTAAAAAGTACCGTTAAATTTCAAATTTTTAATTATGTAGCGCTAATACAATGTTGGGGTATCAGGTAATATATGGCTAGAGAATGTAGACAGGATCGTGTATAGCTAATGTAGCAACACTGTAAGCTTAGCTGGGTGGCCCTTAGTCTGCATATGAATCTAATTATTAGCTACATCCAGGCACCTCATCTTTAGTCTTCCACGGGGTCTCTGATACCCTGAATCCCGGGTAATGTTATAGTACCAACGGTAGTCATATTCAATTTTATGAATCATTGTTGATATTATAAATCTGGCTCAAAGAACGCTCACGATCAACGAGGAGATAATATAGCTGGCTACTAAGGATTTAGATTTAGCATCCATGACAGGAAGCCTAGCTGCCTTTTCGGAAGTAATCTCACCGAATATTATGAATTCCGCGTATACGTCTAATCTAAAATAAAACAGTTATTGACCTAACTCTTCGCTCGTGATTAGTATAGTAACTCTGGGTCGCCTTTGTGTCAGGGAGGATTGACGTAGGCAAGTTAGAGATAGCCAAGATATTCTGAATTCCTTCACCGACTTTCACAGTAACTGGGTATTTTTTCAATTGATTTTTACAATGAGCGTACCGAACTTTGCGACATCTCATCAACCTATAGGAACTCGTCAACCTATAGTGACATTCGCTTATATTGTACTACGTTCACTGGCTATTGCATATCCTAGCGCCCCTAAGTATTTTTACCAGATGATGGCATGTAAGGCTATGATCAATAGGTAACGATACAACACATACCTAGTCAATACTTGCTTCGACCTTAAACTTAGTACAGAAACCTTATCTATTATTTGTGTAACCATATATCTGTGTAACCATATGTCTGTGTAACCATATGTCTGTGTAACCACATGACCTAAGATCCACTGTTGACGTGGTAGGGAACAGACTCACTAGACCCTCTTTCGTGATTTATTAAGAATGTAATCGGATAATCTATGCAAGTATTTCCTCGACAGGGTAGCCATATCCATGATCAGATATCCGTGATTTATTTCAAGTTGAGCGGACCTCCGCGGGAATTTAAATCGGATTTCAACTTTCCAATTAGACGGTGTCCTTAAGTGTTTGAAGTGATAATAAGAATCTCGATTCAAGAAACTTTTGACTTTGTTACGGACGTTCAAAGCTCCCTATAACATAATTGCCTATATCTACATCAGTGTGCCAGGTTTGTATACTACACAATCTCCTAATTTGATTGTACTAGGTGCTTATCTATGAACAGATGCCAGCCCAGGAAACAGAAAAAGGCCAATCCTCTGTCGATGTATCTATCGCTACTGAGCCGAATAACATCGAAGCGGTTCCCACACTACTGAATCAGATTACACAAGCTTTTGATACCTTTACTACTAGCAATGTAGGCCGAGAAGACTTACTTGCTAAGTGCCGCACCTTGGTTCAATCCCTGGAGACTCCCCGAGAGACCATGATTTATCACTGTTGGGCACAGGTAAGTTCCACGTAGTCAGTGTTTGCCAGATCTAAATGAATTAACTGCTAGGTAGACCGGTGCGATAGCCGGTCTGAATTTTGGTGTGGACTCAGGACTATGGACTCTTATGGCGCAAAACGGCGACAAGCCACAAAAGGTCGGCGATTTGGCAGCGAAGCTTGGGGCTGACCGTGTACTTCTTAGTACGTTTCACGCTCGCTCATCTAGCCAGTCTAATTAACACCCAACAAGGTCGCCTGATGCGACACCTTAGTGCCATGGGGTATCTCATCGAGATTGATATCGACGAGTACAGATTGACCAACTACACGAGGGCGATGAGCATTCCCATGATCGGTAATGGCTACCTCGCCATGTAAGCACAATACCCTAACCTGAATGCATTCTCTATAGTTACTCACATTCACAGGCTCTCCTGTACAAGTGCAGGCCCCATGAGATTTCATGAGTTCTCCCGAAAGCGAGGTTGGGTGAATCCCACGGATGCCAGAGACACAGCAATGATGTACGCCTACGGAACCAGCATGGATACTTTTGCGTGGCAACAATCTTTGGGTTATGGCACACACTTTAATGACCACATGAGCGGTTACGCCCTTGGTCTCTTGCCTTGGATGGCACCTAGTTTCTATCCAGTGAAAGAGAGATTGATAGATGGCGCCAATACTGACCGAGAGGCTCCGTTTCTCGTCGATATTGGCGGTAACGTCGGCCATGACTTGGAGCTATTTCACAAACATTATCCCAGAGTTCCAGGGGATTTGATCCTTCAAGATTTACCGGTGGTCATAGGCCAAATTCGGAACCTAGATCCGGCTATTCTCCGTATGGAGTACGACTTCCATACGAAACAGCCCGTTAATGGTAAGGCCCCTAGGGCACAACATCCTCTTCTCCCGGAAACGGAATTTCATACTCACACTATTAGGTGCCCGAGCTTATTATATGCATAATTGTTTGCACGACTGGCCAGATGACGTATGCGAAAACATCCTTGCACAAGTTAAAGCTGCCATGAAGCCCGGGTATAGCAGGCTATTAATTCATGAGCACGTTATACCGGAGACAGGTGCCTACTGGGAAGCCACAGCACTCGACATGGTCATGTTGACACTCCTGTCTGCTCATGAGCGTACCCAGATAGCTTGGTATAACCTCATTGAATCGAGGGCAGGTCTGAATATCACTAAGATTTGGAGGGGTGGAAAGGGCTCCCAGAGTTTGATTGAATGTGAACTGCGGCTTAGTGGAGTGAATTAAGGTTGACCCCTCTCTAGCGGTCCAATTTCTAGCGATTTAGCGTGTTTCCATTATGTAGAAGCACTTATGTCTGGTTTAATGAAGATAGAAAAAGACTTAGGTCTCCGGCGGCCGGTAGGTAGACGCTAGGTATGATAGACTATAGGAATCATATCATCATACCTACGGCTAACTATCTTAATCGGTAATTTAAACCCAGCAGAATTTCTATTTTAGCTACTCATTATATATACTAGGGCGGACTAGGGCGGACGATAAACGCTAGTTACTTAGAAGCTGTAATTGGTTAGTTTATCGACTACTTTCATAGCTGTGTTTACCCTAATACCTTCTTTGTTAGGTTAGGTTAATACCATAGTACCGATTTGACTATCTCCTTCCTTCTCTTTTATCTACCATGGATTATATAAATTCTACCGGACTTTCTACCTTAGAAAAGTTAGTAATTAGCGCTTATCGTCTACCTTAGGCTATTAGGATTATATTATTATATCTAGTAGTTAATACTTTAATATCCTAGATAAAAATATTAAGCTTTTTAAATCCTCTATCTAACTAATGGTATAAAAATACTATTAGACGCTATAGGGAGCTCTATAGACGATCTAGTGTCAACATGTGGATGTTGTGGGGTCACATGACGAAGGACCCACTCATATAACCCCTCTCTACATCTAGATCTTCTTCTCTATAAGATCTATCGAATTGATCCTCAACGATCTTGAATTGAATTGCATACTCGCATTGAATTGCCTACTTAGGCAGGAGACTATTTAACACTCTAATCTCTTGATGTTTCATGTGATCTTTTATATTTCCTAAGATATAAATACTGCCCTGTTTTCTAGTTATATTAAATCAAGTTTATCATCCCTTTTGATCTCTCTTCTAGATCGGTGGTACTCTTCCATAATCGTGGTACTTCTCCTTCTTCCTAAGAAGTACGCACGACCGATAGACTCATAACCGTGTATTTAGACACTATATTAAGTATTTACCTACCTTTATACACACTATCTTCTTATATATATAACTACGACTTTATGGTCACCGCCTAAGTCCGATAGTTATAAGCCTGACGCCTCTGCTCTAACTATTTAACTAATTTAATTTAATCTTCTCTTACTTTACTCTTACTTTCGCTTTACTTCTTATATAGAAGCGATAGATCTAACTACTCTATAAGCTACCTAGCTTAACTACCTATTAAAATCTTACGTATACTAGATTCCCTAGATTACTACGGTTAAAGACTATATAATCGTACACGATCTATAGAAATACGCCGATCCGGACTAAGCTACTCTATCTACCCCGCCCTAGGAACTAATTAAACTATAGATCTCTAATATAATTAAAAGACCTACTAATACCTATATATCTAATCCTCCTAGGCTACTAATTAGACTTATCGATCTTACGTCCGATTAACTAGCGATCTATAAGATACTACTAAGTGAATACGAATCGTTAAGATTAGACTACCTACGATATCTTCGATCTATAGAATCTCTTAAGTAAGGTATCCGATCCTCGCTTATACTAGAAGGAAGGTAAATTATTAATAGCCTATTAGCACACGAAGCTATAGTAAAACTACGTACTATCTTTACCCTATCTAACTAATCGAAGAATCGTTAAATCCTACGCGATTAGGATAAGCTAAAACGATAAGCTCTACTAACTAAATTATTATAACTACTTATATAGGATTAAAAGTAGCTAATTAGCTAATCGGAAGGCGAGAAAGTAGTAATTATCTACTTCTAAGACTATCTATCTCTAGTATACGATTTCCTAGAGATAATTTAACCTAGCGACTAAGGATTCTATACCTTCTAGTATAATATAATCCTATAGGGTCTAAAGAGACCTACCCTAACCGAACTAGTTAATTAATTCGTTAATTAATATAAACTACTTACTACTAGTAATAGAAGACGACCTATTACCTATATAACCTACTAAGGACGTTAATCTAACGAATCAGACGAAGAAGGACCTATATAATTAACTAGAAGAAGAAAGTACCCTTATAGGGGTATACCTAACTCTAGTAACTACGATTTTAAGACGTATCGCTATATAAATCCTAAGGTAAGACCTAGGGGGTAGTAACCTAACCTAGAGGTCTAAGAGTGATTTAAAAAGCGATACGATAAATCTAGAGGATTTAAGATAGCCTATTAATATATAATTCGACGTTACTAACTAGCTAATTTAACTAATTCGCCTAATTCGACTAATTTACCTAATTCGACTAATTCGCCTAATTCGACTAATTTACCTAATTCGACTAATTCGCCTAATTCGACTAATTCGCCTAATTCGACTAATTTAACTAATTCGACTAATTCAACTAATTTAACTACTAGAGATACTTTCTTTACTTATATACTAAAATAATAGATTAAGACTCTTTTTCGAGAGAAAGATAGTATTACGATAAGTATAATTAGGATTCCTACTAAGAAGAACGATATCTAGTATTATAATACCGGAGTATTAATTTATATCACGAATAATAGGGACCTACTATTAAACTATAGGCCTATTATATCCTTTATTATAGTTAGAAATACCGAAACTACTATCCTTAGTTATAGCGAACTATCTATTAAACTATTAGAATCTCTTAATAGAATTACTCTCCCTTTAAAATAAGTTATTTATTATCCTAGATTCTATATTAACCTAATCTCTATAGAAAGAGCTACTAGCGTAAGTATCTATCTAAATAGTAAGGATTACCTACTAGAAGAAAAGGACGGAAGATCTATCTATAAGCTTAACGTGAAATTAGGTATCTACCTAATTCGATAGGATAATTTAACTACTAACCGACTTACTACTAACTATACTTATATTTTATCTACCTTTTACTTATCTCTTAGTTCTATCTTATATAATTAAGTTATACCTATTACTAAGTAATTTAGTAAGATTACCCTATCTTCTTTATATACTAAGAAGTACCTAGATAGGATAATTAATCTATAGTATAGACGACTAGGATACGTTAGTAAGGACGTCCTATCTTATCTACTAGAGTACTTATTAAGTATTACTATTAAAGATATATCTTCGCCTATTAACTACTATAAGATATATAAACTAGCTAATTCGTATCGTTAAATCTCTCGATAATCTATATAGTATAATCGCCCTTTCGAATCTCTATATTAGGATCTTATATACTTCGAACTATCCTTAGATAGAATAATCTATCTATCTTACTCTATAGATCCTATTACTAAATACTAACTAGCGGAAGATCTATCTACTAAGACCGATGTCAACATATGGATGTTGTGGGGTCACATGACGAAGGACCCACTCATATAACCCCTCTCTACATATAGATCTTCTTCTATAAAGATCTAACAGATTGATCCTCAACGATCTCGCATATAATTACCTACCTAAGCAAGAGACTCTCAACACTCTGATTCTGTTGATTTATCATGTGACCTTTTGCTATGTTTCTTGTGATATAAATACTGCTATATTACTTAGTTAAATTGAATCAAGTTTATCATCCTTTGTGATCTCTCTTCTAGATCAGTGGTACTCTTCCACAATCGTGGTACTTCTGCTAGTACGCACGACCGATAGACTCATAACTATATATTCAGATACCACATTGAGTATTTACTAATCCTTATGCACACTATCGTCTTGTGTGTATAACCACGACTTTATGGTCACCGCCTAGAGGCCGACAGTTATAAGCCCGACGCCTCTGCTCTAACCACTTAACTAATTCAATTCAATCTTCCTTTACTTTACTCTCACTATCGCTTCACTTCCCACACAGAAGCGATAGATTCAACCACGCAATAAGCCACCTGGCTTCACTACCCACTAAAATCTCACGCACACTGGGTTCCATAGATCACTGCGGTCAAAGACCACGCACTAGCTAATAATGTGTGGAAATATGCCGATCCGGACCAATCCGCACCGATTACCCCGCCTTAGGAACCAGTTAAACCACAGATATCTAATGTGATCAGAAACCCTACTAACACATACACATCTAATCTTCCTAAACAGCCACTTAGGCTCATCGACCTTACGTCTGACCAATTAGCTATCTATAAGATACTACTAAGTGAATACGAATCGTCAAGATCAGACTACTTTCGCTACCTACGATCCATTAAATCTCTCAAGCAAGGTATTCGATCCTCTCTCACACCAGAAGGACGTTAAATCGTCAATAGCCTATTAGCACACGAAGCTATAGTTAAACTACGTACTACCTTTGCCCTATCCGACCAATCGAAGAATCGTCAAATCCTACGCGATTGGGATAAGCTAAAACGATAAGCTCCACCAACCAAATTATCTCAACTACCTATATAGGGTCAAAAGTGGCTAATTAGCCAATCGGAAGGCAAGAAAGTAGCAATTACCTACTTCCAAGATCCTCTGTCTCCAGTATACGATTTCCTAGAGACTATCCAACCTAGTGACCAGGGCTTCTACACCTTCTAGTATAATACGATCCTACAGGGTCTAAAGAAACCTACCCTAACCGAACTAGTCAATCAATTCGTCGACCAGTACCGACCACCTACCACACTAATTAGCAGTGGTAGAAGACGACCTATCGCCTATACAACCTACCAAGGACGTCAACCTAACGAATCAGACGAAGAAGGGCCTACACAATTAACCAGAAGAAAGAAGTGCCCTTATAGGGGTATACCTAACTCTAGTAACCACGATTTTGAGACGTATCGCTATATGAATCCTAAGGCAAGACCTAGGGGGTAGTAACCTAACCCAGAGGTCTAAGAGCGATTTGAAAAGCGATGCGATGAATCTAGAGGATTCAAAATAGCCTACCAACGTACAATTCGACGTTACTAACCGGCTAATTCAACCAATTCGACCAATTCGACCAATTCGACTAATTCGACTAATTCGGCCAATTCAACTGCTAGAGACGCTTTCTCTACCTATATACCAAAACAACAGGTCGAGACTCTCTT